TGCGTTGAGCTGCAGGGAAGATGAGCCCTTCCATGGCGCGGACCCAGTAACCCACCTCCTCCAGCCATGCCTCACCTGACCACAGTTACTACTTAGTCCATTCAAACTAGGGTGGAAGGATTAGGCTACAGCTCTCATAATCCTATCATTCCATCTCTGACTATTCCTGCACTAACCTAGGAGCTTTTGGGGACATCTCACATCCGCACTATAACAAAAATCAATCAAACTTTGGAGCTGGGGTGTAACTCAGTAATAGAATGTGAACTTAGTGTGCACAAAACCCTAAATTCAATCCTCAGAAAACAAAACATGTCAACAGCAACAAAATGAATAGAATTTTATAGGCTTTCTCTTCTGACTTAAGATTGACATTTCTAATTCTGAGATATGAACCAAGAAGCCTGAAATAAATGTAGATCAGTCATTTGGGCTGACATATGAAGCAGTTATTTTTACTCTGAGATTTGGGTACTTAAGGAAACACAACACAAGGGGACAGCTGAAATCAGACCAGGCCCCAACAGAGACTGTAATAAAAACAGCTTAGCTACGGGAATTTTCCATGATGACAACTTGAAAGGAAAGCTCCTGCTTTTCCATTAACTGAAGAGATTCACAGCTGAACGTTCCCAGACCTCCTTAATAGTGTATCTTCTGTCATGATATTTAAAAATCACCAGGCTACTTGGATCTCAGTGGAAATTTGATGGCTAGAAAAAAATTGAAGCATTCAGTTCACAAGGATGCTTGGTTCTTACTATATACCTCAAATTTAATACAAAAATCACAAACAAGCTTTGAAAAATTCTTCTTACTTTAGAAGACCTAACACTGCTTTTGGGCAGTATACACTTGTTTCTTTACCACTTGACAGTGGCCAGAAAGAGTGGAACTTAACCAACAGAAAAATACACAATTTAACCCAGTGTTTCCCAGACTCTACGCTTATCAGATGTCAGCAATATTATGTATATTTTTAGCCAGAATTTTAAAAACTTTACATTTTCAGATATGTTTAAAGGCCCTCTCAGATGCTTTTTTCCTCCTTAAGAGTAAGCAGGAAAATTGCCAGGCATGATGGCAATGCACCTGTAATCCCAGTGGCTTGGGAGGCTGAGGCAGGAGGATCCCAAGTTCCAGACCAGTCTCAGCAATTTTGAGAGATCCTGTCTCAAAATTTTTAAATGAGGGAGGGGCTGGGGATGTGGCCCAGTGGTTAAGCAACCCTGGGTTCAATCCTGGTACAAAAAAAAAAAAAATCAAGTAGCAAAATAAAACTTTTTCTAAGGAGCAACTGAATCCATTTCTCAGACTGAAGACTCTGGAGGCTGGTGGCAACAACTTTAACTGCTCSTATGAATTCCTGTCCTTCACTCAGCGCCAGCCAGCTCTGGCCCAGGTGCTGGTGGACTGGCCAGACAGCTACCTGTGTGACTCTCCCTCCCACGTGCGCGGCGCCCGGCTCTCCGCCTCTGAGTGCAGTGCTGTGGGGTGTGCTGTGTCCTGCTGATCCTGCCCACGGGGGTCTGTGCCACCTCTTCCACGGTGTGGTCCGAGCGGGACTCCCACTGGGTGGAGAACCTCCTGGTGCAGGAGCTGGAGAACTGGGAGCCGCCCTTCAAGCTGTGTCTGCACAAGCGCGACTTCGTCCCTGGCAAGTGGATCATCGACAACATCATCATCATCGACTGCATCGAGAAGAGCCACAAAACCGTGTTCGTGCTCTCGGRGAACTTCGKGAGGAGCGAGTGGTGCAAGTACGAGCTGGACTTCTCCCACGTCCKCCTCTTGGATGAGAACAGGCCATTCTCGTCCTGCTGGAGCCCCCTGAGCAGCCATCTGTCCTCGTTCACGTGGGCTGCGGTAACAAACATCACACAACAGAAATGGGTTTCTCGCGGTTCAACGGGAGGTTGAGGAGATGCAGTGTCTGGCGGGAGCTGTCTTTTGGGCTCGCTCAGCTGCTTCTTGCTGTGTCCTCCTATGGTGCAAGGGACAAGGGAGTTCTCTGAAGTCACTTCCATAAAGGAGCTGATCCCATTTAGGCGCCTTGATGGCCTATTTGGATACCAAGGACCCTACCTCCAATCCCACCACCATTTTTACCCATGAACTTTTTTGAAGTGTGGGAGCTCATAAACCTTCATTCTATCGCATCATTCCGCGAAGTTTCTATAGACCGTGGAAGACAATGAACACCATCATCTACTTGGAGTGACCTTCAAATGAAGATCAGCTGGAAGAGTTTGAGTTGAAGAAAAAAAAAATTCTAATTTTTAAAAGGAAAAAATTATAAAATGAAATATTCTGAATTTTCATAACTTGATTCTGTGTAGACTTAGACTTTTTCTATTTTTACTTCAGGTAGCTCATAGATATGAAAGCAGTTTGATTAAAAGTAGGGTTTTCCTTTATAGAGTACTCACTGCATGATGATGATGTTTTAGTCAGGGATGTACCACATATACCACTGTCCAGCCTAGGTATGGAGTAGCCACATGGTATATTCTTTTTTTAAAAAAAAATTATTTTTTAGTTGTAGTTGGACACAATATCTTTATTTTACTTATTTATTTTTATGTGGTGCTGAGGATCCAACCCAGGGCCTCGMACGTGCTAGGTGAGCACTCCACCACTGAGCCACAACCCCAGCCCCACATGGTACATTCTTGTGTAAGGGAGGGTAGAAGGGCCTATGCAGTCAGGGCAAGATGGTGAGTGAGGAGGTCAGGGGCAGGGGCAGAACAAAGGAGCATGGAGAAAGTCTTCTAATGAGGTCGACTTCCTGCTTGATGAAAGGGCTCGTGGACACAAGCAGGGGACCCAATCAGACAGACACTTGTAGTGCTTGTAACACTCCCAAGTGGGGGATCCAATAGAAAAACTAAAACAGACACATGGACAGAGGGGGCACCAATAGAAAGGACAGTGTGGACAGGGAAGGAGGTAAGGAAAGGAGGAAATTCTAGAGACAATGAAAAGAACAAGTTAAAACTCCCCACCAGATTCCCAGCTCTGGGAGCCCTTTCTCTTTGAAGAAGTCTGATGTCACTTTTGCAGTTCTGTTCTTCAATTCTTTGCTGAATGAAGACGATGAACCCAGTACCCCTAGACAGTAACATAAGCATACTCTACATTGTTCAAACAATGCAGAGTCACCTGAGGATGCATGTCTCAGAATGTGTCCTCGCTGTTAAGCAATGCATGCCTGTATACTACAAGAAGTACTTTTTCACATGTGTTCCTTTTCTTTTCTTCCTCCTCTTCCTCCTCTTCCTCCTCCTCCTCCTCCTCCTCCTTCTCTCTCTTTCTCTCTTTCTTTCACCAGGGATTGAACTCAGGGGGTACTTAACTAATGAGCCACATCCCCAGTCTTTTTATATTTTAAAATTTTGAGACAGGGTTTCACTAAGTTGCTTAGGGTCTTACTAAATTGCCGAGGCTGGCTTTGAACTTACCATCCTCTTGCCCCGGCCTCCTGAGCCGCTGGGATTACAGGAATGAGCCACCACATCTGGCCTGTGTTCATTTTCTAACCTTTTTTTTTTTTTAAGGTATTTTCAGTTGTAGGAGGTCTTATATCAAACTGAAAAGAAGGCAGACCAGAAGGGAGTAAGGAGATTTGAAATCTAACCAGGGATGTGCCACTGGTTGTTAGCTGTGGGTCCCTTGACTCTAGGCAACTCTTTAATCACTTGAACAGAAGGGGTAATAAAATCTGGAACTTTTCATTTCATGTGTTATTGTGAACCGAAAATGAACAAATAGATGTGAAAATGCTTTGAAAATGTTCAGTGTAGGACTTCCTGTTAGTGCTAACAGCTTTGATGAGTGTGTAGGATTGACTTCCCTGTATATAACAYTGCTAATAATTTGTGGGTGAAYATTTGATTTCTTTCTGATTTTGCCAGAATATTCTGTTTGGCTTCAGGTTTAAAGCAATACCATCMAAACCAATCTAAGCAGTTTAGGAAACATACATAAAGAATACAGGTCTCTAGCTTCRGGGAAAAGTAATTGGAAAGACATTTTCACAAATACCTAAGAAATCACATGAAAGAGAGGTGGAGATACTGACTTAAGAAAGAAGTCTTTCAGGCAGCTGGTGGGCCTGAATCGCCAGGGATGGAGATGAATATATACAATCAGTAAGCTATATGGCAAATCAGATGTCACAGGGCACTGAAGTCCTATCAATTTAATATTCATGCCTATTAATTGTTTCCCTGATTTTTGAACGTCACAGATTGGGGTGGGGGGAATATGGGGCTGTCCTTTTCCAGTCCAACAGGCGAAATGTTGCTGTGATGGTTTGATGTTGGTCAGGAAACTATTTTAATGCAGCAGGACACAGATTTCAGCATGAACCCTTGGAAATACACTGGTAGATCAATAAAGTGAACCCTTGGAAATATACTGGTAGGTCAATAAAGAATTGAACGGGGTTGGGGTTGGGGTGGGGAGAAGCACCTTTAGAGTTTGTATTCCGGTTTCCAAAAATGGAGAAGAGTCAGAAATGGAGTTTAAGGAGTGCGTTTCGGGGTGAATTGAGGTTTTGGTTACCCAACTCTTCAATAAAATACTGGTTGGGCACTCAGCTTTCTCTTTGGTGACTGAATCAGCCTCTGTACTCGGGGAAATCCCAGGCAGGGCCCTCTAGCATCTGGGTTCTCTTTTTCCTGCTCTGCAACCCCTACCAAGTCCCCAGCGCCCTCCTCTGATCCCCGCTTGGCACAGGGCAGGGATTGGGGCAGGATCCACGGGCTCCYATCTTGGCCCGCCTCGGGGCTACAGCCACCAGATAGAGCTTGTGCGAAAGGTGGCCGCGCAGGCGGGGGTGGGGGGTTTGTCTCTGCCACCAGGTGTGYGGACCGAGGTCTGGCACAAGCCACTGCGCGGAGGCGCGCACATCGAGTGGGCGTTGCTGCCCGTGACTGGGCGTTCCCGCGTCCGGGAAGGCCGGGCACCGGACTGCGCGGACCTCCCCTTCAGTCACTTCCCAGTCCAGGGCCGAGAGGGCGCAGCGGCTCCACCGCCCTCGGCGGGCACCCCAGGTAGGTCAGGCGGTTCCCGCCGGCGCGCTCCGCCCGCGCGGTCTCTCTGCGCTCCTCCCGGGGCCGGCGGGCAGGGGCGGAGGGGACCCCGGGTTCCTACTCGTTGCACCTGTGCCCCCAGCCGGGAGGCTCAGATTGCGGCGGGGAGGCAGCGGATTCCGGACGCCTGTGCTTCCCGCAGCTTGGGTCTCTGTGCAGCCTCGTGCTTGAATAGGGACAGCAGCGACATCAGCGAAGGCCGAGCTGCGGGCGGTACCCGGGGGAAGCAGGGGCACCCAGAAAGGGAAGCGGGCGAGGCAGAGGTACCCCTAGCCACTGAGCAGTCTGAGGACGCGACTCTGCCCATGACTCGCTGTCCYCCGGGAGTGGTCACGGTAGCCTCGGAGCCAGCGTGGACGGTGGTCCTGGCTCTGCCAGTTATCCAAGTTACGTTTTGCCGTCGCAGCTGACCGAGTGGCTCGGAGGGAAAGTAACCAGGGGCACGTGAATGCTGTCACCTAGCCATTGTGAGTGACCGCTAGCCTTCTCCGGGATTTGTGTCCGCGATCGTGGTTACTTTAGATGGGATTTCAGTCACTAGGGCACTGAAGTGGGCAAGGTGCCAAGGTTCGTTCCAGGGGGTGGTCCAGGACCCTCCCTTACTGTTTTAGTCTGCGTTTTCGTCGCTATGACCAAAAGAACGGACAAGACCAGTGTAGAGGAGGAAAAGTTTATTTGCCGGCTCTTAGCCGCTGATGTCCTTGCTGTGGGTCAGAAGTGTGGCAGAACATCACCCGCAGAAGGGTGTGGAGGAGGAAAACAGCTCAGGACAAGGCAATCAGGAAGCAGAGAGAGCATCTGCTCATCAGGGACAAAACATAAGCCCCCAAGGTACGACCCCAGTGACCTACCTCCTCCAGCCAGAAGGTATCTGCCTATAGTCAATCCGTTCAAGTCAATGCACTGATTAGGCTAAGGATCTCATAACCCAATCATTTCACTTCTAAACTTTCTTGCATTGCCTCACATATGAGCTTTTGGGGGGACACTTTATATGTAAACTATAAGACCTCCTAACAGGGAGTCTGGCCTCTGCACTGTGGGGTGTTTCATGCCCCCTCTGCATTCTTTGATTCTTAGGGTATCTTGAGTTGGGTCTCTGTTGAAAAACCACCTTAGAGCATTTAAACAGTTGTTCTTTAAATAAGAACACTATGAAGTTCCTCTTACAACTTCTTCAACTTCTGAACATGAAAACAAGTGTTTGCAAGTGTTAGAACTTGCAAACCAGAAAGGTGTTTTGTTGATTTTATTAAGAAAAGAGAGTGTTCTGGGTGTTAACAACTCAATCTGCTGTGGATTCCCCCACCCCCCTTTTCCTTCCTTGGTAGGTAGGGTGACCTGGCTTGAAAGAGACCTTTTTTTTTTTTTAAAGGAAGCACAAAGATCTTGACTTATTAGAAAATGACATTCATCAATATTTTAAGTTTCTTCCTGTCCCAAGTAAAGAACAGATGAATCTTAAACTTTTTACAACATCCCCATCTTACAGAAGTTGCCAGAAGTTTACAGCATGTTTTGGAAGTTTCTAAGCTATCAGTTAATTTTCTCATATTATTTCATTTATAAACTAACAGGAAGAAAAATATCTAATGATAAAAATCACCTCCAAATTTAAGAGAAGGAAAAAAAGAGAGAGAGAGACAAGAGAACATGAAAAAGATGGGATTAAAAAGCATAGTGTAATGACTTACATCGTAACAAACCATTAATTAATTAATTAATTAATTCTATTGAATAAAAGGACTATATGTTGTAATCATCAGACTAATTGTGAGAACAGAATTAAAAACTACAAGCCAACAGTCAAGCCTGTTCATAAGAGACATGTTTTAGAAAGATACTAAAAGGTTTAAAGTGAAAGCATGCCACTAATTATCCAAAGAAAAATGTGCAGCTATATTAAYTTCAGATAAAATAGACATTAAGCCAAAGAAAGAATATTTCACTGGGATAAAAGTTTCACTGAGAAGAGATACAAATTCTGAGTTGATAAGCACTTACAACATGACATTTAAAAAAAAAAATGGAGCCAAAGTGACAGAACTATAAGGAACCAGACAAATCTAGGCATGGTGKGAAGTTTTATCACATCTCTACTGATATAAAAAGCAGACAAAAGGTCAGAAAGGATAAAGAAAATGTGCAAACTGTATGCCAACTAATTGGAAAAGCTATAATAAATGGATAGATTTATGGACACATACATCCTGTCTTGATTGACTAACGAAGAAATAGAAAATCCAAATAGACCAATGTAGAGCAATAAGAYTGAATCAGTAATAAAGCCTCCCATCAAAGAAAGGCCTAAGAGCTGATGGCTGCACTGCTGAATTCTACCAGACACTTAAGAAGTAATACCAATTCTTTCCAAACTACTCCAAAAAATTGAAGAGCATGTAATGCTTCCAAACTCATTCTGTCATCACCCTAATACCAAAACCAGACAAGGACCTGACAAAACAAGAAAACCACCAWTCCTGATGAATGTGGATGCAAAAATTCTCATCAAAATACTAGCAAACTAAATTTAGTACATGAAAAAAGAGTATCCTTTTTAATGATCAAGTGGTTTGGATGAATCCCTGGACTTGAGAATGGCTCAACATATGCAAATCAATAAATGCAATACATTGTGTTAACAGAAATAATTCAAAAACCATATGGTCATTTCAACAGATGCAGAAAAAGCATCTGATAARATTCCCTTTATGATAAAAACTCCACAAATTAGGAGTAGAAGGAATGCATCTCAACACAATAATAGTTATTTATGACAAACTCACAGGTAATATCATCCTAAATGGGGAATGATTGAAAGCCTTTCCTTTATATCTGGAAGAAGATAAGAATGTCCACTTTCATCATTTTTATTCATAGTACTAGAAGTTTCTAACCAGAGCAGTCAGTCAAGAGAAAGAAATAAAGATAACCCAAATTACAAAGGAGGTAGTAAAACTTTCCCTGTTTGCAAACAACATAATCTTATATATAGAAAAATCTTAAAAATTACACTTACAAAACCTGTTAGAAATAATAAATWCAGAAAAGTTACAGGATATAAAATCAACAGGAAAAATCATTAACATTTGTATATGTCAATAGTGAACTATCTGAAAAAGAAATCTAGAAAGCAATCCTATTAAAAATGTCTGAGACTTTGTGTGATGCCAAATTTAAAGGTGATGGAATAATTAATGTGGCACAGGAAATTTTTAAGGCAAAACAGCACTCAGGCAGTGACATGGGCATTGCTATCATTTTTTAGCCAGGTTTACTGTGATAATTTGAAGCAAAAAGCAAGAGAATAAAAAAAATTTAAGACCTGTAATTTGGCCAGAAAAAGACATGTAAAACAGGCCAAGGAAAGTGTGGTTGATGAAGAGATTACCACCACTAAAGATAAGTACTTTGCCTAGAGACAATGGGATAGATGTATTGAGGGATCAGGAATCAGCAAGACCATACCCTGGCAGATTCAAGGGTGTAAAAGTGAAGACCTGTTTAAAAAGAAAACATGGAGGCACACTGATGTGTAGAAAATTKTTTCTCAAGGAAATTGTTTTGCATGGGTCAGCTGCTCAGACACTAAGAGGCCACTGCAACCATGTTCCAAGGGGGCCTGGTTACTGCTCAAGCTGGAGGCTGACCTTGGTGCTGGTTTTGCAGGAATGCAGGATGCTAGTGTTAAGGCATCATGGAGGCTTTTTACCAAGATTTCAAACGAAGGCCTGGCATGCTAGGCAAAGTGTGGCAGGGTTGGAATCCCTCTAGGCAGCCCCTGAGAAGATGATGTATGAAGATGTGAAMGGTCAAGCTGAACCTGGAATGGAGACCCCTGCAAAATTAAAAGATGCCAATAATGTGGACCATCTGCCAATAGGTTGGCCTAGCAGAGCCAGGCCAAGACATGCTATGTGGGATGCAGCCAGCATTTAGAAGCAGGGCTTCCCAAGCTCTTTAGAACACACATCTTGCCACCACATACCCCAGATGCCAGACCTGTAGCTATAGGACTTATTTGCCCAGATGGGTTTTGATTTTGTTTTGGTCCTATCCCTTCTTTCTGTGCTTCTGTTCTTCCATTGTGGAGTGGAAATGTTTACTTTGTGCCACTATATGCTGGGTATGTGTAACTTGCTTTTGATCTTTACAGAGGTTCCTAGTTTGCCTGTGAGTCTAAGATGAGACTTTGGACTTGGACTTTTGGGCAGTGCTGGAACTATTAAGACTATGGGGACTCTTAGAGGTAGAATAAATGCATTTTGCATTGCGACATTTTGGGGCCAAGAGTGGAATGTTATGGTTTGGATATGAGGTATCTCCCCCCAAAAACTCATGTGTTCATGCAGGAATACTTGGAGGTGAAATTATGAGATTATGAGAGTTGTCACCTCATTAGTGGATTAATCTATTTGATGGATAAATAATTTGAATGGGCCAAGTAGGTGGCAACTGTAGGCCGATGGGATGTGGCTAGAGAAAGTAGGTCACTGAGATCATACCTTTGGGGATTATATTTTGTCTCTGACTCCTTGTACTTTTCTCTCCTCTCCTTCCTGGATGCCATGAACTGAACAGCTTTCCTGTGCCTTTTGCAGTGATGTTCTGCTTCACCTTAAGCTCACAGCAATGGAGTCTGCTGACTATGGACTGAGCCTCTGAAACTGTGAGCCCCAAATATCTTCTTCCTCACACACACTAGGTAAGTGCTTCACCACTGAGCTACAACTCCAGCCCCCAACTAATTTTTGACAAAAGCACCAAAAACAATAACTCAGACAAAAACTCTGTCTTCGATGAACAGTACTAGGAAAATGGATATCCAGATGGAAGAATGAAAGTTAACCCATCCCCCTACATAGAAAAATAAACTCAAAATRTTTTGAAGACTTAAATATAAAACCAAAAAATAGAAAACATTAGAGAAGTATTCCTGGATATTGATATGAGCAAGAATTTTTTTGGTTAAGAATTAAGACAGGGCTGGGGATGTGGCTCCAGTGGTAGCACGCTGGCCTGGCATGTGTGGGGCGTTGGGTTCGATCCTCAGCACCACATAAAAATAAAATAAAGATGTTGTGTCCACCAAAAACTAAAAAAAAAAAAAAAATTAAAAACAAAGAATTAAGACAGTAAAAGCAAAGCAAGGATTACATCAAACTGAAAACTAAAAACTTGATCTCCTAGAAAAAAAAAGAGTATAATAATGATGATTAGAGGCTAGGAAAGGTTAGAGGGAGTGGGCACAGAGGGCAGCTGGACAACAGGAGCCCAAGGCCAGTTAGTAGGGGAATAGGTTCTATTGCTCTATAGCACAGTAAGGTGACTACAGTTTACAGTTTATTATTTTTATTTTTGGTACTGGGGATTGAACCTAGGGGTGCTTTACCACTGAGCCACATCCCCAGTCCCTTTTTATGCTTTTTATTTTTATTTATTTATTTGGGGGGGTACCAGGAATTGAACTCAGGGACACTCAATCACTGAGCCACATCCCCAGCCCTACTTTGTATTTTATTTAGAGAGACAGTCTCACTTAGTTGCGTAGCACCTTGCTTTTGCTGAGGCTGGCTTGAACTCATTATCCTCCTGCCTCAGTCTCCTAAGCCACTGGGATTACAAATGTGCACCACCAYGTCCGGCTATGGTTTTTATTTTGACGTAGGGTCTTACAAAGTTGCTTAGGGCCTCACTAAATTGCTGAAACTGACCTTGAACTCATGATTCTTCTGCCTCAGCCTCCTGAGTCACTGGGATTATAAGCATGCACCACCATGCCTGACTCTTATTATGTAGTTTATAAAAAACTAGAAAAAAGGAGTTTGTAGACTCCAAACACAAAGAAATAACTAATGTTTAAGGAGATGGATATGCTAATTACCCTCACTTGATCATTACATGTTGCACACTTGTATCAAATGATCAGCTGTACCCCCACAAATATGTAAATGACTCTGTTACAATTAAAAATAAATTAAAAAATATTCTGTACAAAGAAGGAAACAACAGAGTGAAGAGACAGCCTACAGAATGGGAGAAAATATTTGCAAACTGTGCATATGACAAGGGGTTAATATCCAGAATACATAAGGATTTAAAACAATAACAAAAAAATTTATTAAAAATGGTCAAAAGGCATGAATTGAATTCTCTAAAGATAACATACAAATGACCAACAGATATATGAACAATTGCTGAACATCATTAATTAATAGGGTAATGCAACTCAAACCCACAGTGAGAGATCACTTCACCCCAGTTAGAATAGCAATTATTAAAAAGACAACAAAAAGCCAGGCACCTAATCCCAGAGACTCAGGAGTTTGAGGCAGGAGGATTGCAAGTTCAAGGCCAGCCTTGACAACTTAGTGAGACCCTGTATTGAAATAAAATAAAGAGGGCTGGGGGTATGGCTTAGTGGTGGAGAGCCTCTGGGTTCCATCCCCAGAATTTCAAAAAAGGAAAATAAATGATGGAGTAGATGAATATATAAAGAAAATGGTGTATACACACACACACACACACACACACACACACACACACACTATTTGGCCATAAAAAGGAAGAACATGGATGACATAAGAGAAATAAGCCAGGCACAGAAAGGCAGATACTACATGTTGTAATTGTGGAATCTAAAAAAGATGATCTYATAGAAATACCCAGTGAAGTAGGGGTTTGCGGAGGCTGAGGAGGGTGGGCAGCTGGGAAGGGTGGGGAGATGGTCAATGGGGATAAAATTACAATAAGATAGGGGAATACGCTCTGCTGTTCATAGGGGGACTATAGTTAACAATGTTATACTGTATATTTCAAAGTAATTTAGAAGAGAGGATTTTGAATAGTTTCATCACAAAGGATGATCAATGTTGGAGGCAGTTAATATACCAAATATCCTGATTTGATTTTTAGTATCCATGTGTGGAATATGTTTGATCATCAGTGTACACTGTTCCCCATAAGTACATATGATTATCATGTGTCAGTAAAGAAGAGAAGATATGAACAGCATGATTAATGTAGTTGGTTGGATGGACCAGTATAAATATTGTCCCAACAGCTGCTGAAATCACAGAACATACACAAATCCTGGACTACAGAACAAAGTGCAACACATTTTAAAGGATTTAAATCATTCTGAGTATGTTTTTTTTCCTTGCCATAATGCAACTAAAGCAGAGAACAACCACAAAGAACCGTCCCCCCTCCAAAAAAAAAAAGAGAAAAAAAGCCCATATGTTGGGAAATTAGTACCTACATTTCTATATAAACCATGGGACATAAAAGAACCATAATAGAAATTAGAAAATGTTTTAAAATGAATTTTGAATAAACGACATAAAGAAACATGTCAAATGCAGCAAAACTATTGTTTCAGTGATAATATCTAACCTTAAGTGCATGTACTGAAATTGAATAATGGCCAACAGTTAATGACCAAACAAGAAATTAGAGAAATAACAGTAAAATAAATCCAGAGAAAGCAGAAGGGAGGAAGTAGTAACAGAACGGTGGAAAATAACGAAATAGAAAGTAGACAATCTGTAAAGTCAGAACTGAAAATGTTAATAAAAAATGGAAGACAATCAAGAATAAAAGTAGGCACAAATAAAACTCATGAACGAATAAAACAGAGGACTTCATTTCATTAAATAAAATAAGCTGGAGTCCATTAGCTGGAGACTGTCTCTGTACTTTGTGTTCCTGCATAATAAACTGCAAATTAACTTAGTATATACAGACTCAAACCTAACTCAGTAGTTTATTTGTTATTATTATTTTTTTTGTGGTACCAGGAATTGAACCCAGGGGTGCTTTACCACTGAGCCAAATCCCCAGTCCTTTTCTAAGGGACTGGCTGAGTTGCTTAGATCCTCACTATGTTGCTGAGGCTGGCTTTAAACTCCCTATCCTCCTGCCTCAGCCTCCCAAGACACTGGGATTACATGTGAACCCCACTATCCCCAGCTAGAAGTCATGTTTTGTAACAAATAGCTATTTTAGCCACTCTCAAACAGCCAGCCTTGAGCCAGTCACAGGTAGCTGAATGATTAGAGGGGCCCATAGAAGGCGAATACCTCATCACATCATGTCCAGGAAGTGGCCTGGCTGTAGCCAGTCCAATCAGATGGTTCCCCTGCTTTGCTTCTGTATTCAGCCTATAAAACCTCACTGCTCACACCAAACTTCCCCCAAACCCCGGTTCCAGGCACAGCATGAACCATTCTTTGCTTAAGATACATCCTAATTTGTCTCATTTTTTTAAAAACACCTTAAATCCTCTAGACGTTAAAATAATAAAAWTATTAAATATTAAATAATAAAATTGAAAATTTGAAAAATACAACTTACTGAAAATAAGAGGAAGAAAATCTGAATTGTTCTGTAGTTGTTAAGTAAATTTATTCGGTGTCACAAAACAAAACACACAAATAACAACACTTCCTGCCTGGTGACACTGGTGAGTTCTACCAGATGAGAATGTCAGGAGAAAGGAAATTGACAGGGCACATTTGTTTCTGAATATAGATATAAAAGTTCTCAACAAAATATTACTAAGTAAAATCCAGCACTATATGAAAAGGATAATACATCTTGTCTAACTTGGGTTTATTTTTTAAAGTCGTATTATCTTAACGCTTTGAAATTCACCAGTGCAATCACTACAGTTTAYTAACAGAACAAAGACATTGAATCATGTCTCAATAGGCAACTCAGCAACTTGTCAGAGAGTCTGTCTCAAAGTAAAAGTTAAAAAAGGTCTGGGGATGTAGCTCTGTGGTAGAGTGCCCCTGGGTTCAGTCTTAGTACTGCAAGAAAAAAAAAAGTGAAGAAATGTTTGGAAGTGATAGATATGTTTATCTTTGGAAGTGATAGATATGTTTATCACATGGATTGTGGTGAGGGTGCCACGAATGTGTACTTGTGTCTAAGCTCACCAAATTGTGCACATTAATTATTTACAGTTTTTAATACTAATTATACCTCAATAAAACTGATGATAAAATGAAAATCCAGAATAAATATGCATGGTATGACCCATTTATCTAAACAGACGAGGGGATTCAAAGCAGTGGTATTAGTGTGAGCATAAAAATTCTGTCTCCAACAGCAATTAAATTCTCTATGACTGTAAATTGTATAACCCAGATCCTTATGACAGCGTAGATTCTGTGAATGTGGGAAGTTAGTTCTTTCCATAAAATRTTTTGTATTTGGGGTTAAATATTTTTTWAAAAAATGTGTAGAGTTAGTTCATGAACAAATACGGACAAAGGCACCCAGATGTAAGGAACAGGGGCACTGAAAGTAGCTAGGGGAAAATGTAGGGCCCCGAAGGTGGGCAGAGAGAAAACTGTTGGATTCCTGGCTGAAACTAAAACAGCAGTTGTGTGCAAACAGGTTTATTTCCTCTCTATTCATCTGAACAACACACCCAGGCTTGAACATTGCTTTCTGAACCTCTCTGCMGGAAGAGAAGGTTCTGATGGTTTGAGTGTTCCTCAACTCAGCAAGGTACTTTGCTCAGCCTGGGACTCCCAGCATCCCTCTTGCCTRAAAGTAGCAGGTGCAGGCTGGGTTGGTGACCATGAAACCTTTTTCTTTTGGTCAAAGAGCATGCTATTTCTAGGGCTCCATCCAGTGAACAGTTGTCCATGAGAGCAGTAGTTTGGTTCTATGAGTTCTTTATGTGCCGGATATTAAGGAAGGGGAGAAGCATGCTTAAAGCTAAGAGGGTTTCCAATTCAGGAAGAGGTAATTGAAAGTGGCTATGGTGAGCCTAGCTCATTTCTTTCTTTCTTTCTTTTTTTAAAAATGTGTGTGTGTGTGTGTGTCACACACACACACAGTAGATGGACACAATACCTTTATTTTATTTATTTATTTTTACACAGTGCTGAGGATTGAACATAGTGCCTCACATGTGCCAGGCAAGCGCTCCACCATTGGGCCACAACCCCAACCCCCTAGCTCTCTTCTTAAACTGCTTGCTTGATCATGCCCCTGTTCCTTTGTTTGCTTATAACCCATTTTTAGTGAGGCCTGTTCCACATTCCCACATGGTGGTACTTTAAGTCTGAGCAGTGGCCCCCCTGTTTGTGCTGCTGTATGCWTCAGGGAATTCATTTCTCATCCTCATTCATATGTTCCATTTGCCTTCCTGTTATTTCCTCTATGTGTATGTGAGAGAGAGAGAGAGGTGGGGGGACTGTGAGATGCTTGATAAAGCATTTCTCAAGAATCAGTTWTGTTGTCAGACACAATCACTCATTGGAACCGCTTTTATTTGTAGGTGGAATCCTGGACAATGCCACAGGCTTTGTGGACAGTGTGGGCCTTGGGGGCCATAATCCTCCTCTCCAAGGAAGGGTCTCCAGATCYGGCTCCTCTGTCTTGCAACCCCACTGGCATCTGTGATGGCCGCTCCAGATCTTTCAGCTCCATCCCCTCAGGGCTCACAGCAGCCATGAGAGGGCTTGACCTGTCCAACAATGAGATCACCTATATCGGCCAAGCTGATCTGCAGAGGTGCGTCAACCTCCGGGCTCTGATGCTGAAGTCCAATGGGATCAGCACAATTCAGGAAGGTGCCTTTTCTTCCCTAAGCCRTCTGGAACATTTGGATTTATCTGATAATCAGTTATCTAATCTATCGTCTTCCTGGTTTAGGCCCCTTTCCTCCTTGAAAATTTTAAACTTACTGGGAAATCCTTACAAAACACTTGGGGAAACATCTCTTTTTTCTCACCTCCCAAATTTGCGAATCCTGAGGGTAGGAAATAGTTACACCTTCACTGGGATTCAGAGAATAGATTTTGTTGGACTTACCTTTCTAGAAGAACTTGAGATCATTGCATCTAGTCTCCAGAGTTATGAGCCCCAAAGTTTGAAGTCAATTCAGAACATCAGTCATCTGATCCTTCATATGAAGCAACCTATGTTACTGGTGGAGATKTTTGTAGATCTTTTAAGTTCAGTGGAATCTTTTGAACTGAGAGATACAGACTTGGTCATGTTCCACTTTTCAGGGCTATCCATCAGTGAAACGAATCCAGTGATTAAAAAGTTCACATTTAGAAATGCAGACATGACCGATCAAAGTTTTAATGACCTTGTGAAACTGTTGAGTTATGCTTCTGAGTTGTTGGAGGTGGAGTTTGATGACTGTACTCTTAATGGAGTTGGTGATTTTCATGTATCTGAGCTCGAGAAAATTAAAATTCCAGGTAAAGTGGAAACAGTCACTATACGGAAGTTGCATATCCCACAGTTCTACTTATTTTATGATCTGAGCACTGTGTATTCAATCACTGAAAGAATTAAAAAAATCACAGTGGAGAACAGTAAGGTTTTTCTGGTTCCTTGTTTGTTTTCACAACATTTAAAATCATTAGAACACTTAGATCTCAGTGAAAATCTGATGGTTGAAGAATACTTGAAAAATTCAGCCTGTGAGGATGGCTGGCCCTCCCTGCAGACCTTAATTTTAAGGCAAAATCACTTGACATCATTAGAAAAAACTGGAGAGGTTTTGCTGACTCTGAAAAACTTGACCAACCTTGATGTCAGTAAGAACAGTTTTCATTCTATGCCTGAAGCTTGTCAGTGGCCACAAAAGATGAAATATTTGAACTTGTCCAGCACCCGGATACACCGTGTAACCGACTGCATTCCCAGGACCTTGGAAATTTTAGATGTCAGCAATAATAATCTCGACTCATTTTCTTTAATTTTACCTCAACTCAAAGAACTTTATATTTCTAGAAATAAGCTGAAGATGCTTCCAGATGCTTCTTCCTTACCCATGTTACTCGTCATGAATATCAGCAGGAATACCATAAATACTTTCTCTAAGGAGCAACTTGATTCGTTTCACAGACTGAAGACGCTGGAGGCTGGTGGCAACAACTTCATCTGCTCCTGTGAATTCCTGTCCTTCACTCGGCAGCAGCCGGCCCTGGCCCAGGTGCTGGTGGACTGGCCAGACAGCTACCTGTGTGACTCTCCCTCCCACGTGCGCGGCCAGCGCGTGCTCGACGCCCGGCTCTCCGCCTCCGAGTGCCACCGGGTGGCGCTGGTGTCTGGCGTGTGCTGTGCCCTCTTCCTGTTGATCCTGCTCACGGGGGGCCTGTGCCACCGCTTCCACGGTGTGTGGTACCTGAAGATGATGTGGGCCTGGCTCCAGGCCAAAAGGAAGCCCCGGAAGGCGCCGTGCAGGGACATCTGCTACGACGCGTTCGTCTCCTACAGCGAGCGGGACTCCCACTGGGTGGAGAACCTCCTGGTGCAGGAGCTGGAGAACTGGGAGCCGCCCTTCAAGCTGTGTCTGCACAAGCGCGACTTCGTCCCTGGCAAGTGGATCATCGACAACATCATCGACTGCATCGAGAAGAGCCACAAAACCGTGTTCGTGCTCTCGGAGAACTTCGTGAAGAGCGAGTGGTGCAAGTACGAGCTGGACTTCTCCCACTTCCGCCTCTTTGATGAGAACGACGACGCGGCCATTCTTGTCCTGCTGGAGCCCATCGAGAAGAAGGCCATCCCCCAGCGCTTCTGTAAGCTGCGGAAGATCATGAACACCAAGACCTACCTGGAGTGGCCCCGGGAGGAAGCTCTGCAGGAGGGCTTTTGGATAAACTTAAGAGCTGCAATAAAATCTTAGGTTCCTGGATCACAGCCTGGCTGAGTGGTGGTCTTCAGTTGGTGACACTTAGTTCATTCTGACATAATTGCATTCGCGGGAATGTTCTATTATTGGAGGACTTGTTCACTAAAACTACTTAAACTGCCAATTTTATCTACAGTGCTGTTGTATAAAAACGGTTACCAGATTAGAAAACATAGTTTTTAAAAATTCTATAATATCATCATGACCCAGTTCCATTACTGGGTCTCTGAATGGTCCATGGCAATTGGCTCAGTTCATCAGCAAATGGCACAGATGCACTAAAGGGGTCAAATGGTTGTCTCAGGTGGGCTGGCTTGTTGTGAAGCCACTCAGGGGTGGCCACAGGGAGCATTCTCCGTGCCACCCCCTCTCATCTCTCGGTACAGTTGATCTCAAGAGCAGCAAGAAGTGTTTGAGGACACTAGACTAGACTTGTTGCTCTTCCTACAAAAGGGCCGTGTGTCCCCCCGGTTCAATTTTTCAGGATACAAAATATCCCGAGGGTGCAGTTTCATTGTGAATGGGGTCTACATTCTTGGGTATTTAACAGATTTCTCCAGCCATATTTACTTGAAAGAGTATGTCTAATGCAGGAGTCAATTATGTCTTACTGTGAAAGCAAAACTATTGAGACAATAAAATGCTTAGTTTTGAGGAAGCTGAAGGAAGTCTTCCACATGGGACCCTGAACTTCCTCAGCCTTTGACCACCTGCAAATTTTCCTCCCTCACATGCCACGTGCTGCTTTTTTGTTCTTTGAAAGTCTTTTTTTTTTTTTTTTTTGGTATCCTACCATGGATGGAAAACCGGGGTGATTAACAACCAAGCCACATCCACAGTCTTCTTTATATTTTATTTAGAGACAGGAGTCTGGATAAATTTCTTAGGGTCTCCCTGCTGAGGCTGGCTTTGAACTTGTCATCTTTCTGTCTCAGCCTTCCAAGCCACTGGGATTACAAATGTGTGCCACTGCTCCCGGCTTCTTTGAAAGTCATGTTTCTAATTTGTAAAAAAAAAAGAGCTTTCCTTTTAAAAATTTTCCTTCTGAAAATTTTGAAACAACCCATGTGAGCTGAACAGATTTTTAAATAACTATATACCTAAAGGTTCTTTATCATGATTCAGAAACAGTTCAGTCAACAATAATTTGATGATCATGCTAGCATATATTAATTTCTATAATCAAGATTTAATAACACATTAAATTCCGATGAGCACTCTTTGCTAAGAGCTCGTTTCTGATTCTGTGCAGCTTTCTTCTTTGCTGGGAACTGAGTTTGAAAGGGAGTGAACCACCTTTGACCCCTGCTCAAATCTCAACCAGACTAGGCTTATGTGGTTAATTGGGTTCTGGAGTGAGAAGACATCTGGGTTGGCAGATGTATAACCTTGGACAAGTCACCTGGCCTGATTCAAAATGTTTTCTTGTCCTCAAAATAGGGACAGTCACCTGCATGCACCTGCTAGATTTGGAACGCAGCAATGTGTGTAATCCACAGAGCACATGCTCCTTGGTACCCTTGCTTCTGGAGGGTGTGAGGAGGGCAAGGGTTCCAAGCCTGTGAGAATGAGAACTGTTTTGCCTGGTGTGATATGGCAGCAATGCCTGGCGTAGATGTGAGCTATTATGATTTTTCAGGAAGGGATACATTTCTTTATAAAATTATAGGTTTAAGTGGATTTTTTTCTATCATCAGGACTAGCAGGGATAAAAGGAACCCTGCTGTTCTCAAAATTACCCAAAGGAAATAAGTTCATTCAGTATATATCAGGTGTCAATCTTGGAGAACTCACACAGTGCTTCTAATACCAAGTCCCAGGAGAGTGTGGAAGAGGAAACACACCAGCCTAAGGGGAAAAAAAAGGATAGGTTTAGGCCAGGTGTGGTGGCACACGCCTTTAATCCCAGTGGCTCAGGAGGCCGAGACAGGAGAATTGTGAGTTCAAAGCCAACCTCAGCAACGGCAAGGCACGAAGCAGCTCAGTGGGACCCTGTCTCTAAATAAAATACAAAATAGGGCTGGGGATGTGGCTCAGTGGTTGAATGTCTCCAAGTTCAATCCCCAGGACCAAAAAAAAAAAAAAAAAAAGTGTGTGTGTGGGGTAGGTTCAGCAGAAGGAAACCCCAAAACAGCAATGAATTTTCTGCTTTTCTTTCTCAGTGCCTATACTAAGCACCATGTTGATTATTATGAGAACCAGAGATACATTGACTTGATTTATATATTTAGCTTTAAGAATTTGAACAGCAGCCAGGCGGGGTGGCACGTGCCTGTAATCCCAGCAGCTCTGAAGGCTGAGGCAGGAGAATTGCAAATTTGATGCCAGCCTCAGCCTTAAGCAACTTAGTGAGACCCTCCCTTAAGAAAAAAAATTTTTTTTGAATACAATAGTAATAGCCTCAAAGTTTATTGTTAGACTTAAGATTACCTTTAAAATAATCTTTATAATTTTTTTATTACAATGTTGAACACTGAAAAAATTTTAGAAAAGATAATATATAAAAATAGGAATCAGCTCTTATTTCATCACCTTGGTATAACCACTGGTAACTAGTATATAGCTCTCCAATCTTTATCAATGCAGGTGTACCTAGTACTTCACAAAATTGAGATTAGACTGTAAATACTTACAGTTTATAAAGAAAATGGCATATTCCTTTTTTTTTTTTTTTTTAGATAGTTTACTGATTGCTACATTTTGCACATTGACTGTCCCCTGAAGTCTCAGGTGTTGACAGTTTCATCACCAGCCAGTGGTGCCGCTGGGACGTGGTAGGACCTTTAGGAGATGGGGCCTAGTGGAGTGCAGGTGGGTTATTGAAGGTACCTCCCTGAAGGGGATATTGGGACTCTGACTCCTCCTCTTCCTCTTTCTTTCTGCTTCCTGGTTCCCGTGAAGTGGGCACCTTTCTCSGGCATGTGCTTCCTGCCGTGATTTACTGCCCACCACAGACCCCAAAGCAATGGGGCCAAGGAACCAGGGACTGAAACCTCCAAAACTGTGAGCTAAAATAAACCTTTCCTCTTTTTAACTTGCTGATCTCAGGTACTCGCTGCAGTCATGGAAAGCTGACTAGTTGAGTGATTATCTGACATTTCTGAACTGCAAGGACCATTTTGAACTCCATGAAGAGAAATATGGCTTTAGCTGCCCAGAATTTTAAGGTTCCAGAAGCTACCCTCGTGCAGCTGTCCAAAAAGGGCAAGCAGCAAATACATCAGAGATCAGCGTAAGGGACCCTTTTTTGGAACAAAAACTATTTTTTCAGATGCAAGATCTTTTATTTGTCAATGGACTGTAAGCTCAAAAAACTTGGTTTATCTCTTTATCCCTTGAATATGCCTAGTACAATTATTGAAGCATTGAATTATTGAAATATGTGCTGAGTAGGGAAATGAATAGTGATTAAATCTAGTAACCTGGATGGTGATGCCCGTATGATAATGAAGCACTGGGCAGTTTGAAGAAGGAAAATTACCAACAGGTGGAAATCTTCATGTGAGTTCTCTTGATGACAGAACTTTTTTTTAAAAAAAATATGTTTTTATTTTAATTGACATTTAATAATTGTACGTTTATGGGGGCCAGCGTGATATTTCAATATGTGTATACCATGTGCAATGATCAGATCAGCGTATAATTGGCATACCCATCACCTAAATATTTATTATTTCTCTGTTAGGGGTATTTAAAATCTCCCTTATTAACTACTTTTAAATATGCAGCAAATTGTGGTTAACCATAGTTATCCTACTGTGCCACAGAACAGAAGTCATTGCTCTCTTCCAATTGCACCCCTGTACCTGCTCACCAGCCTCTCTCCATCCCTCCCTCCTCCACACCCTTCCCAGCCACTGTTCTCTTTGCTTTTATGAGATCAACATTTTTTTGTGTGTGTGTGGTGCTAGGAATTGAACCCAGGGCCTTGCACACCAGGCAAGCACCCATCAAGCTATTCCCCTAGTTTAAGGAGATCAACTTTTTAGCTTCCATATATTAGTGAGAACATGTGGTATTTATTTGTCTTTCTCTTCCTTACTCACTTTACTGAACATAATATTCTTCAGTTCTGTCCATGTTGCTGCAAAGGACAGAATTTCATTTTTTTTTTGTGGCTGAATACTAATGCATCATATATATTCCCCACATTTTCTTTATCTATTTATCCATCAATTGACATCTTGGTYGATTCTACCTCTTGTCTATTGTAAAGAATGCTGTAGTAAATGTGGGAGTGCAAGTATCTCTTCAACACACTGATTTTGTTTCCTTTGGATATATACCCAGTAGTGGGATTACTGGATCAGATGGAAGTTTTATTTCTAGTTTTTTTGAGAGGAGACCATGATTTTTAACAACTGAGTACTATCCCTCTCTATGAATAGGCCATCATTTAATCAGTTCTAAGGTATTGGACACTTGTTTGAAATTTGGGGGAGGGATTAAACTTATTATGATGGAGTTATTCATACATAATGGTAGAATAGTGTAATTCTGTGAACACACTGATGACAGAACTTTGAATAACACTAAGTCACTGCCAATATTTGGACAAGGAAAATAACAGTTGTTGTACTCCTTCCTATTTCACGCAGGTGTGATGCAGAGTAGGCATCCTCCAGTGCTGCAGAATAGGGATCTAGTGTTCTGTATAGAGTGTTGACTGTTTAAAAAATAACAGTAATTTGAACAATTTTGGGATTCCAGCATATGATTCTTGGGTTAATTCTGTTTTCCCCTACTCAGTTAATTTTGTTCTCTCCTGTCAAATTGATTTATTCTTTCAGAAAAGCATTTACTTTTACGAAGTGCCTGTTACACGCTGGGCACTGTGTAAGTGCTGGGGACACAGTAGGAAACAAGACAGACAGAATTCCCTGCCTTCGTGGAATAAAAGTATGACATGATTTCAGGTATGAAAAAGTTAACCGCAGAGTACAGAAACAGGATGAGGGCGTATGTCTGTTATGGTTTGGATGTGGTGTGTCCCCCCAAAGCTCAGGGGTTGAGACGTGGTCCCCAGTGCAGTAATGCACAGAAGTGGTGCTTTCAGGAAGGATTGGACCATGAAGCCTCTAACCTCATCAGTGGATTAATCCATTTGGTGGATTAATAACTTGAAGAGACTAGTGGGAGGAGGTGGAAGATGTCAGAAGGTGGGGCATGGTTAGAGGAAGTATGTCACTTGGGGGTGTGAAAATCGGGACTATATCTTGTCCCTGGCTCTTCCTCTCTTTCTGCTTCCTGGTTTTCATAAGATGAATACCACTGTCCATGTCCTTCCACCAAGGCCTGCTTCACCTCAGGCCCAACGCAAGGAGCCAGCCAACCACAGACTGAACACACTGAGATTCTGAGCTAAAATAGATCTTTTTGTACTTCAAGTTGTTTGGGTTACATATTTTATGTGTCACAGGAACACATAAGCTAACACGCTGTCCTCGTATATTTGTGCATTTGTGTGTGTGAGTGTGCATACAGTGAGTAACACTAAAGCAGAGTGACTCTTTCCCCTTCAGTGCATGCTTGGGTGGGTACAGTGCACTTGGCAGCCCCGAGGACCCGAGAGTAGCTGTAGCCCACTGAGTAAGTGTAGCACCCAATATTGCAGACTTAGGGAGTCCCACCTTTTGTCCAAGTGCTTTGTGGGTGCTTCCACATGATGATAGCACACTGAGTAGAAAGACAAAATCCTTAAACTGCAGATAACCGAAAAGTTCTACTTTCTCTGAAGATACTGAACTGATGATGTTATTATAACGAATTATAACTCCATGCTCTATGTGACAAGTACTTTGAAAACCCTTGAAACCCTTTTCAGGTGAGACCATTCTCAGCCAAACTTGGGGTGGAATGTCCATGTGGGGTATGACCAATGTACTGCATGCATGGGTTTCTAGAAAACAATTGGGATAGGAAAGATGTGAGAGCATACTTTATTTGTTTATTCCACCATTTAGCTTCTCTTTAATTCTTTGCACAAAGATAAATTGCTCTAAGTGTGATACCAAATTTTATTTAGTTTTCTGAACTCTGGGGATCATCTCTAAAATGAAAAAGGAATATCAATATTAAATATAGAATGAAGGATTTAAAAATATTTCAGCCATGCAATACATTGCTGCTGGAGTAAGTCTGCTGTGCTATTCCAGCCCCAGTGAATAGTTAATGCCTTGAACGACTCCTATTACCACAGGTTGCCAGGCCACCAGATATCGAAGCCAATCCAGGATTTGCCCATACAAAAAATGGGTGCGTTCCCAGCTGAGTCTGTGTTAAGGAGGTTGTTCTGTGTACAGCCAAGTAACAGAAATAGTCATAAACATCATTTGAAAATATAGTAAGCAAAATAATAAATGGTTGTTTCCCTTCTTGTTAGTTCTATGTGCTCAATAAAAGCCCTTCCTGTGCTGGCATGATGTTGTGTGCTGCTAAGAAGGCTGAGGCAGGAGGATTGCTTGATCCTAGGAGTTTGGGGCCAGCTTGGGCAAAATAGTGAGAGAGGGAGAGGGAGAGGGAGAGGGAGAGGGAGAGGGAGAGGGAGAGGGAGAGGGAGAGGGAGAGAGAGAGAATACAAATGAGAGAGAGGGGGAGAGAGAGAGAGACAATACAAATGAGAGGGGGGGGAGGGAGGGAGGGAGGAGAGAGGAGAGAGGGAGAAAGAAAGAGAAAGAGAAAGCAAGAAAGCCCTCACATGATTTTTTTTKTTGTTGTTGTTCCAGGGATTGAACTCAGGGGCACTCAACCACTGAGCCACATCCCAGCCCTATTTTGTATTTTATTAAGAGACATTTATTGAGTTGCTTACTGTCTCACCATTGCTGAGAGGCTGGCTTTGAATTCGAGATCCTCCTGCCTCAGCCTCCAGAGCCACTGGGATTACAGGTGTGTGTCACTGCACCTGGTTTTTCACATGATGTTTTTGGCATTATGTTTATCATTTTTATTTACACCATATTCACTTTCTGAAAACAAATTGAAACTATTTAAAATAAAATCCCAAACTACAAAACAAGGATAGAAGGCAAGGGTATATCCTAAATGAAGGAGGCAGAGGGAAAGACCACATTGGAAAGTGAGCAAAAACAGCTTTCCTGCAGTCGACACATCAGAGGGAACTTATATATTAAAAAGAATAACCCTGGTTCACGGGCAAGACATTCCTTTTTCTGGAATCTGGTAACTTCTGCTAAGGGACCTTAACTTAACACATACTGATAGCAATTTCACAAASAAAGGGCAGCTCTTTCACAAGTAGCTTTTCCTTATACTAAGTCTCAAAAAAAAAAAAAAAAGAGTACACGTAATATTTAGCACTTCATTCTCTTCAGACTACATAAAGAAATGATTTCCTTAACTATCCTTTGGTATTTAAACTCTCACCTAAGGTTACATTTGTGAGCCTATTATCATTGATTTAATTAATTAATTAATTGGGTACTGGGGATTGGACTCAGGGGCTCTTGGCCACGGAGCCACATCCCCAGCCCTATTTTGTATTTTATTTAGAGACAGAGTCTTACTGAGTTGCTTAGCATTTTGTTTTTGCTGAGGCTGGCTTTGAACTCATAATCCTCCTGCCTCAGCCTCCCAAGCCACTGGGATGACAGGCGTGTGTCACCTGCCCAGTTATTATCACTAATTTTATAACAAAGGTTTATTATGTATTACAGTTTTACAAGTTATGAATCAGATGCTGTACTGGACTCCATCTCCTCCTGTTAGCAGGGAAATTCGGGACAGTGGATGGAAAAGAAGGAGGAGGTAGTTGTGCACCACCAGCCTTGAGTTGGGCAGCAGGCTGGAGGCCAGGCCTGTGAAGGATCAGGTGGCTGTTGAGGCTCTGCTCTGTTGCCACGCATGGCCTGAGACCCAAAGGCCCACGGACTGTCTGCTGTTCTAAGGCCCTCCGTGGACGTCTCCACCTGCTTTGCCATGTGCTCTGCTGTCAGCAGCCCCCAGGAGACCACACATTCAGGGCTGCTGGGGAGAGAGGAGATGGGAGCAAGGAGGCTGCTTCCTTAACCTGCAAGGTTTAGGTGTCTCTTAGCAAGTGTGTCTTATGGGAAGAGAGGGCCATGCCAACACTCACTGCCCTTCTGTATACAGTGGTGGGGGGCATGCCATGAGCTGGTCAAGGCTGTGAGTCTTGTTTCCTCTCAATCTCATCATCACCAGGACCTAGCCTAAGAGATTAGGCATGCTGCGGAATCTAAAACGCTAAAATCCAGGGTGGGGGGAAACTTACTCATTTCTGGTAATAAACAAATTTGGTACACCCTAAAAATACTCCTCTATATTTTGATTCACACGTGGGGCTTTTAAATTTTCCAATTTATCTCTCAGTCCCTGCACTCACCTCTTCAGTCTAACCATTTAAATATCAATCCCTCTATCTATTCATCCACCTATCTGGATTACTTTTCCATATAACCTACTTATCTTTCACATGGTCTCATCCGATTTCTGCTAAATCCCTTGATGTGGAAAATATGAAACACAAAGAGTGGAATACTGGGGGCACTCCACTTTCTAACCAGAATAATATAGGCACAGACAAGAGATTTTAAATGTGGTGAAATAAATTGCTAGAGAGAACAGAAACATTTTTTTTTTGCTGTAACTATGCAAAGACAATAAATGTTTAGATGGAAGAGCACATCCCCAGAAACATTGAAGGTAAGGGTCATTGCACTTTTTAAAAGGATACGGGTTACTGATCATCCTCTTCAAATCAACCTTCTCTTTGCAGTAAGGGCAGGTCTGCTTTTTACCAACAATACACCAACCTCGGATGCAGAATTCGTGAAAGCTGAAGCATCTTGTTAGGGAAGCTTCTGGATAGTCAGTGGCAATGTCTGGCTCAGGGTGACATGRACATCATCCACCGTTAGAGGCCAGCATGGCTGTCGGTCATGACTGGATTGTGCACAGCCCTTTGGCAGGGCTTTGTCTAGGACAATGGTAATCCCAAGGACAGAGAGCTTGACGTGGGAGCCCAATTAGCTTTCTGACCTGAGGAATCTACTTAGCCTCTTGGCTTGACTTGTTCTTCCCTCACTTGAGTCTGGTAAGAGTCTGATAAAGGATGTGAGGAAGCTTTTGTCTTACATGAGCCTATTTTGTTTCACTACCTTCTTTATTTTTCCATTTCTAATGTGTTCACCACAATTCTCCTTTTTGTGCATTACTTCTATGCACTCAGCCTCGTCTTAGACACTTTGGCAAGTTTAAATTATTTGTGATCATAAACTTACAGATATATCCCCGCACCCCTCTCMCCCTGCCTGCTTGTTTGGTGCCAGGGATGAACCCAGGGCCTCACACATGCTAAGCATATGCTCTACCACCGAGCCACACCACCCCATTTCTAAACTTACAGACCTTTTTATTGACTTCCTAAGTTTTTTCCTCAACTTTCTTTTTATTACTGATAAGGAGTCAATTATTTTTAATTTTGAATATAAGCTMAAAAATCTGAACTTCTCAAACTCTAGCCACTTACAAATCCATTTGTGTGCATCACCCTTTTCAGAAGGTCTGACGCTTTGTCCCTAAAGCTGAGAGTGAACCCCCTGATTTTGCACACCACCAGTGACTTATTCCAATGCATCGTGACTTTCTGTGTACATACATGTCTCCCTTAGGCCACACCTTACCTGTGAGACTATGACTCACTCATCTGTGTCCCCAGCACCTTAAGCAGGTGCCCAAGAAATACTGTTTGAATGAATATATGAATGGATCATTCAAAACCAATTATTTTTGGAAAAAAAGCATTTCTAGGTTCCCCAATATTGCAGATTTGGGCAAAATGATTAACTATAGTGAGATCATCTTATTGATTTATTTACTTTCTAAAATCGCTGTTCCCAGTGTGACTTTCAGGGCCAAGATTCCATGGTCTTCTGACCAGCCTGCCACGCTCCCATGTTAACAGCAATGATGTGGACGGCCCCTCCCTAACAAGTGGAGGACCACGGAGGAGTAACCCCGTGAAGGCCATGTCCACAATTCCTCAATACTGGATCTCTATGCAACTCAGAGTTTCCACTACTTTATGTTCTTGGAATTGGGGACATTTTTTTCCCCCAATATGCTTGGGTTAACAAAGTGCTGTGTTACAACAAAGATTTTAAACCAAAATCCATATAGCTCTCCGTTTAAAAGGGATGCAGTCAAGGTTTCATATTTCAGATGGGTATGGAGTTCAGGGGTCATAGAGCCAGTACCAAAATGTCCATTTCTTCTTAACATGTTCTTTCTTTCATCTTCAAGATCTTCATCCTGAAAAACCTGCACATTGGCAGAACTGACCTGGAGCAATACTCAGATAATCCCTGCTTGTTAATATGACTCATGGTGGCCTCACTCATATRACTCATGCTAAAATATGCCATTAGAAATACTCCCTGCAAGCAAATTTAAAGGTGACTTACATTTAGATCACATATACATACATGTACCACCATCTCTAAGGGCTTTTAAAGGTGCAAAGAGAAAATATTTCCATTTGCAAATGGAAGAAGGGGCTGTGTTCCAACATTTGAAAAGTAAAACATATTTAAAACTCAGGCCAGACTTGGAAAATTTTGACTTAGACTGATAGTTTTTTTGGGRAAAGTATCCTACTGAAAAACCACTATAGAATGCCATACGGAATATCTTCTGTGTTTCTTCCCTTAAAATTTTAAGGCTTACATGTTGGAGAAAAGGCTCCTATTACACATTTGAGATGCATTTGGACCAGTTTTTGATTCTATTCTCAGGGTTGAATAAGTGGAAACTGTCCAGGTTAAACAGAATTGAATCGTGGGCCCTGCACATCGACGGCATTMGGTATTACTGACTGAATTAAGCGGGTGTCAGCGGTACACGACAGCTGGTGTAACCGTTTCATAATGCCAGAGCTTTGATTTGGCTGGGTATACAGAGATAATGTTATAAAATTGATACTGTATTATAAAATAAAGATAAATGATGCTTTTTTAAATTTAGGAACAAATTAAAATATGGACTGTTGGCCAACCTAAACACAACTTGGATATCCATAGTTACATGCTTGGACGGCCCATGCTTTGTTCATGATTCTTGATGCCAGCATTTTTCAATATACTGAGGCCCTTATCAGGGGTGCCTGGAGTTCCCCAAAAATGCTAGCTTCCAGGTCTGGCTTGTCTGATACCTCCCTCATCAAGATGCCCAGTCAATAGAGAGTTGTTGGAGGAAGAACCCACAGACAGAGGAGCCAAATGATTAAAGACCAAGAAGTCACATATTGGGCCTTCCTTTTGTCATCTAAGGTGTTCTGCTGCTTGTGGCACTATTATTTTTAACACTTCTTCCAAAAAAGCTGATAAAGGGGTTTGGTTTTCTCCCTTGGCCACCCACTATGATTCCTGTTTCTACAAGGGGCTCCTAGGGTTTTCTCTAGGAAAAAGCACATTTTGGATTTTTTTGCCCACCAAGATTCGGATGCCAAGCTGGGCGTGATGGCACATGTCTCTAATCCCAATGGCTCAGGAGGCTGAGGCAGGAGGATTGCAAGTTCAAAGCCAGCCTCAGCTACTGAACAAGGCCCTAGGTAACTTAGTGAGACCCTGTCTCAAAACAAAAACAAAAAAGGGCTGGGGATGTGGCTCAGTGGATAAGCAACCCTGGGTTCAATCCCTGGTTGAAAAAAAAGACACCAGCTCCTCCTGAACCGTCTTGAGTTCTTCCCTCCACCTGACACTTCACTGTTCTGTTTTGGTGTTGGTTCTGGGGATGGAACCCCGGGCCTCATGCATGCTGATCACGTGCTCTATGCCTAAACTCTACCTCCAACCCCCTACTTTTACTCTTTGTCTCACCCTTAATCTCCTTCTTTTCCTAGTCTTTCTTGATTATGTGCTCACTTGGGGCTTCTGCCAGCTTCCGCAGGTAACATCCTGCTCAGGTGCTRCAGCCTTTCTGGCCCCGTGGCATTAAGAGTCCTCTTTAAAAAGAAAATTACTGGCTAGGCACGGTAGTGCACATCTGTAATCCAAGTGACTCCGGAGGCTGAAGCAGTATYACAAGTTCAAGGCCAGCCTCAGCAACTTAGTGAACTGACCTTGTTTCAAAATAAAAATAAAAGGGCTAGGGATACAGCTCAGTGGTAAGCACCCTGGCTTCAATCCCTTGTACTGCCACMAAAAAGAAAAAGGACATTACTGGAGTTCATTTTAGTTGGCAGCTCATTATTCAGCAGAGATTATCAGAAAGTCTCCCAAGACTGGGCTGGAGGACAAAGGTCTGGGACTTGGAGATGGAAGAGGAGATGGGGACGGGAGGAGGAGGGGGACCAAGACAGAGGCCCGAGGAAGGAGGAAGGCYGCGGGTTCCCAGGGAAGGATACACGTGATTGCACGACAGCTGGTAGGTGTTTTCAATGAGCCCCTCTTCATCSAGCTCCACGATGATCCTCTGTCCACAGACGGCACAGATGTCGTCAGCCAAGCTCCTTGTGGGCATCCCGCTGACGCTGTAGAACTGTTGGGGGAAAACAGAGTGCTGCTGGACAGGAGAGCAGCCGCCACTGACCAGGTGGCAGCCCCGGCCAGGTGCCGGGACAGGCAGCCCTCGGTGCATGGAGTCTTCATTGCTTCTGAGTTGGGTGACAACTTGACATCTTTTCCTGTGGGGCCCGTGCTGCAGAGGAGTTACCAGGTGGAACCCTGAATCCCAGGTGGACCCAATGCGCATCTCCACCTGTAACCACCCTTTGAACCTCAGTATTTAGGAATTCCTGGAAACGAATCGCTTTTATCCAGGGCGGTAGTTCAGAATCATAAGGGAAGCTTTGGGTTTATCCTTCATCTGGCCCTTCTCTTTTTTCTCCTGGAGATTCTGTTTCAGAGATCTGCAGAAAATCCTGGCATCTCCCCCCCCCCCCTCCTTAATTCCCATGTTCTGGTTGGGGAGCACACAGACTAATCACCACAATTCTAACTTGGGATACTGCGTCTTCTGTGGATGAGAAGTGGTTCTCAGCATTAGTAGCACATTAGAGTTCCTAGGAAATACTTTTTTTTAAATAAAATATTTATTTTATAATAGTTTTTTTAAAAAGAGATCAACACAGACATAGCACAGACTACCCATGTGCCACACACCTCATTTCCTCTATTACAATTACTGATTCATTTTAATGTTTATGGGGACTGTCRGTCAGAAACCTGCAGGAAAGGCTAGTAGGCTGGAGACCCTGGGAAGAGTTGGTGCTGCTGTCTTGAGGCAGGATCCCTTCTTCTCTAGGAAGCCTCAGGCCTTGCCTTTTAGGCCTTTCATTGATTAGATGAGGTCCACCCACATTACCAAGGGTAAACCTCCTTCACTTACAGTCAGCTGACTGTAGAAGTTAATCATATGCATGACATACCTTCATAGCAATATCTAGACCAGAGCTTAACGGACAACTGGGTACCACGGCCTCGGTAAGTGGACCCAAAGTTKAACCATCACAACCTCCATCAGCAACATCAGTTATGTGGAACTCTTCCTCATGGACTTATCTATTCTCCATCTATTTATTTATTCGATCACTTATTTACATGAATATGGTCATATGGCTGTTTATTTTATACTTGGCTTTGTTATGCTTTGGATCCAGAACGTCCCCCCCCACCCCCCCAAGCTCATGTGTTCAAAGCCTAGTTCCCAATGCAGCAATGTTTACAGGTAGGGATGGAGATGTCAGATTTCAGGAAATAATTGGATCATGAGGGCTCTAGCCTCCTTAGGTTCTAGTCAGTGCATTAATCCATTCAATGGATGTTTTCATCTGTTTTTTTTTTTGAGTCACTCTGACCAAAATACCTGATGAGAACAATTTAGATGACAAATAGTTTATTTGAGACTCTTGGCTTGAGAGGTTCAGTCCATGGTCAGCTGACTTCATAGCTTTGGGCCGAGATGTGGCAAAACAGCAGGGTAGAGGAGTGTACGGATGACAGTGGCTTAGGACAAGGTAACAGGAAGAAGTGGGGGGAGAGGGAGAGGGAGAAAACCTCTGATCACTAGGGACAGAATCCAACCCCAAAGTCACAGCCCCAGTGACCTACTTCCTCCGTCACACCCTACCTGCCCACAGTTAATCATCAGTGGACTGGTCCACAGATTAGGTTATAGCTCTCTTAATCTAGTCATTGAACCTCTGAAAGTTCTTGCACTGTCTCACGTATGAGCTTCTGGGCGATGACTGACATCTAAACCGTAACARTGGGTTAAAAATTTGAATGCACTCCTGGGCGGTGGTGGAACCTGCAGGCAGGATGGGCATACTTAGAGTCGCGGGGCTGAGCACCTTTCTCCCATCACACCGCTCCATCATGGTAACTGCCTAACCTCGGGCCCAAAGCCATGGAGCCAGCTGGCCATGGACTGAGTCTTCTGAGACCATGAGCTAGAATACACTTTTCCTCCTTTAAGTTGTTTTAGGAGGTATTTTTGTCACAGTGAGGAAGAGAGGATGGAGAGTGTTACAACCTAGTACTGCTCCTGTTTTGTTGTCCAACTTCCAGCTCTGGCTACTGGGAGCTCTTCTGGTTTGCTTCTGTGGTTCTCTGACAACTCCATCCTTGTGGGKTTTTTTTTTCCCCCTAGTCTTGGTTTTAGGATGGCCTTACTTTCAAGTCCTCCAGGATGCTCCAGGCTCTTGTTCACATAGAGAATGAAGTCATTGCTCAGATCTGTATTCCTTGTTCAGATCTTTAATGAAGTCATTTCTCCAAGAARCCCTGGTTCCTTTTATTGCAAAATGGAACCAGAAACCAACCCCTGGGTCCTAGGTGTGCCACTGGAGTGTCATTGCTTCTAGGACCTCTTAACTGACAGAGCAAGGAAACGTGTCTTGTGAACCAAGCTGTGCATGTACCCAGACCTGAAAATGTTTCTGTATGTCTTCATCTGCATCTGTGTTAAGCTAATCAGGAGTTCAGACTAATATCTCTTATTCATCCTAATTTATTCCTACACAGATCATTCTAGCCTCTTTGCTTGGCAGGAATCTCTCATTGAGACAGTGAGAAACCTAGCTTCCATTATCAGCCATCCACTTATAGGTTCCATTTCAGAGTACTTGAGTAGTGGTATCAAAATTGCAATCCATAGTTGGAGGGCAATGACTTTATCAACTATAGCACAATTCATTTTGCTTTTAGTCTTATAATCTCTACGCATTTCAGTTACTTGGATAACACATTCTGCTCCCCACTTTTTTTTAATGCATTTGGATTCTTTTGTCACAGTCTACCTTCTACCCTGGGTTTTTCTGACCTCTGATATAATTTTTAAATTTTGCATGCATAAAGGTTCATCTTTTCTGTGACATAGTTTTATGGGTTTTGGAAAATGCAGAGTGTCATGTATCCACCATTCCAGCATCAAACAGAAGTTTTCCACTACTATAAAACCTTCCCTGTGCTTCACCTATTAAACCCTGCTCCTTCCCTAAGGCCCTGGCAACCACTGATGTGTTTAGCAGCACTATAGTTGTGCCTTTTCCAAAATGTTGTATAAACAGAATCATACAGCATGGAGCCTTTTTGGAYAGGCTCCTCTCCCTCAGCCATATGCATTTAAAATTCACCCCCATTTTTGGATGGCTTAATAGTCAGTTCATTCCTTTTTCTAAGGAGTCTTTTAAAACGAAGCAGATGCATTGGCGTCACTCCCAGAGATTCTGGCTTAATTGATCTGTTGTGGGCGCAGGCACTGGTATGGGAACAGTGATCGCTCCCCCTTAGCTTCTTCCTTGCTTAGTCCCAAGCACCTCCCCCCCTTAGTCCAAATCATTGGTGGCTGTGCCAATGGCTTGGGACAGTGGTTTTTTATAGATTTGGTAAGTGGAATGAAGATGACAGAGGATGACAAGATGTTGGTGACCAGAGATGTGAGATCAGGTGGGAACTCTACAGAAAGTTGGTGATTAAGTCCTTGGTCGTCTCACCCAGTGAAGTCTCTTCCTGATCCACTGGAGAACAGAGCACATACAATCCTTCTCTTCCTTTGGGAATTGTCATTGGGGTGTGACTTGTTTTTTGTTGGAAATGAGAGTGAAGATGCTCCTCCTGTGCTCACTTTGAATCTTATGAGAAATGCACTTGTCCCACACATAACACTTGGCAGAGGAATTCCAAGGGTTATGAATTGTACCACAGAGGTTGGKCTGCAGGCTCTGGAGGAGGGTGTAATAGAGCCCTTGGTGGAGCGGAAGGACAAATGGGGTGAAGATGATGTCAAGGTCATGTCCATTTAGGTTCTGCCCCACAAATGGAAAGAAGTCTACTCTTCTCTTGTTATGCACACTAATTTTCCCATTTCATATCTGGCTGTGTACCCAGAGGCATGTAGACAGGATGTGGAATACCTGAAACCTAGAGCCCTTTGTTTGTAAGTGTTTAGAGATGTGCGTGTGCCAGACACAGATGAATGTTCCTAAGATTTGAGTCTGGAATCCATCTAACCAGAAAGTATATCCATTCTGAATTTCAATTTTCAGAGAGTTTTGGGGGGGGGAATAAAAGGAACCACAACTATTTGAGATTTAAAACACTTTTAGTCACCAGTTACAATATCCAGYCAGAACACATTTAGCACATTTTTCTATCTTCTCTTTCTTCAGTTGCTGTGTAATGATAACCAATCTTTATGATAAGTATTGCCCTACATTATTGTGGAGTATGAAGTGTTTTATGTACTATCAAATGTGAATTATTTTTCAATGATGGGGATCAAATCCAGAACCTTATGCTTGCTAGGCAAGTGCTCTACTACTTAGTTGCATTCYAGTTCCTCAAATAAGATTTTTATTTGCATTAGGCAGCATTTTCTTTTTTCAGAGAGATACAGGGTTTTTTTTCTTTAATTTTTAATGGTTGATTTTTTTTTTTTTTTTTTTTGGTACCAGGGATTGAACCCAGGGTTGCTTAACCACTGAGCCACATCCCTAGCCCTTCTTTTGTTTTGAGAAAAGGTTTTAATTGATCTGGGCAGGGCCTGGCCAGTAGTAGTTTTCAAGATCACTATGTTGCTGGGACTGGTCTCAAATTTGCACTCCTCCTGTCTCAGCCTCCCAAGTTGCAGGAAATATAGGTGTGTGCCACTGCACCTGGAAGGTTGATCTTTCATGAATCCTTTAAACATTGCCAACTATAGTACGTGAGGTATGATGACTCAAAGAGTCAGCATATTTTAGAAGATAYCTTATTCCCCAACCATTCTATATATAAAATGTACTTTCTTTTAAAAAACATTTTATAAAATRTACTTTCAAATTAATCAAAAAAGTTTTTTTTTTTTTTGGATGCAAGGAGAATCCAGGGAACAATGAGGTTGGAATAATCAAAATAGAACCAAAGGAAATGATGCAAATATGTAAGATGAGACCATTTCTCCTTGTGTCATAAATGGTTTCAAACAATGAAAGCAATACTTACCCCTATAGTAGAAGCCATGTAATCTGAGCAGATCTCCGCAAAGTCTCTCCCCATTACCCCATAGTAGAGGCCATAGAACAAGGACACAATGCCAAAATCCATGGAATCTCTAGCCTTGATTCTATTGAAAACAGTAAAAAGGGAATAATAAGTGGCCTTGGGGGAACAGAGGAAAAGCTGGAGCTTGGAAAAGATCTCCTGCCATAGTATGTAAAAAAGAGCCCCATGGACATATACTTTTTCACTTATTTATTTAGTTCTTTTTTTAATATGAGAGATTTTTTAATTCTCTAAATTTCTTTCCAACTGTACCACCCAATGCCAATGGACAAAGGAATTCTTGAGTAGTCCCCTTTATWCTCAGGTGATATGTTCTAAGATCACCAGTAGATGCATGAGATCTGGCTAGTACTGAACTTTACACACACTATTTTTCCCCACACACATACTTAAGATAAAGTTTAATTTATAATCAGGCACAGTAAGAAGTTAAAAACAATAACGAATGATAGAATAACTGAAACAATGTACTATAAGAAAAGTTTGTGCTTTGAGGCCATTATTAAATAAAAGAAGGCTTACTTGAACACAAGCACAGTGATATCGTGACAGATGATCTGGTAACTGAGTTAACTGCTAAGCGACTAATGGGAAGGTAGCACATATAACATGGGTTGATTTACATCCTGAGTGGGACGATACAAGATTTCATCAGGCTACTTAGGACAGTGTGCAATTTAAAAATTATTTATTTAGGGAATTTTCCATTTAATATTTAGGATTATGGTAGACTGTAGGTAATTGAAACCAAAGAAGGTGAAACCACAGGTCAAGGGATACTGCTAGAGTCTTTAAATGTTTCTTAGGTTTTCAGTGCTTAGATAAGTCCATTCTAACCAGGAGTCTCAAGGTGGGTTGAATGTAGAAACATCTCCATGTCTAGCCACACCCCAGCTCAATTACATCAGAATCTCTGGGGATSGGGCCTGTGCAGCAATGATTTTTAAAGCTCCTGTACACCGGGCGATGCAAATGGGCAGCTAATGTTAAAAACCACTAGATCATGATTCTTGGCACGAAACATAGATTAGAGTCACCTGGGGAAATCTAAAAATATACTGGTGYGTGAATGGACCCACCGTGAGGACTCTGGCTTAATTGGTCTGGGCAGGGCCTGGCCAGTAGTAGTTTTCAACATCCTGTCAGTGACTCTCCAGTACAGGAAGGGTCTAGCACTTAGATTCTACAAAGTGCCTTCATATAGTTTTTCTTACCTAACAAATGTGTTAGATATTATTCTCACTTGGCATGTGAAAACACGGTGACTTAGAAAAAAAGCCATTTCCTTCACATGACAWTGGTACATAACCAAGCTAAGAATTAAGCTCAGATTTTGAGACCCATCACTCTTATGCCATTGTTGATATGTATGAGCAACAACAAAAAATCTTTCTCCTGCAAATTGAATCATATTTMAAATACACTAGGATTCTTTTGTGATCATGCCCCTCTTTTTAAAGGGAAAGATCTCTTTTAAAAACTGAATAATTAGCCTTTATTAGTTTAACTGATGAATCTTAGWCCTTGCACATTTGCTTTGTTAGATTTGTAAGACAATCTCCAAAGCCTGGGTGGCCTGTTGGGACTCACTGGAGACAGAGCAGAACATGGAGCAGAGTTGGGTGGTCTGCGTCTAGAATCTCTTTTTGATTGCTTTTGTGCTCTGTTAAYTTAAGGAGAACATGGTAAAAGCAGAAAGCTTTGTAGATTTAGGAGATAGATTCTCTCTTTTTTTTTTTTTTGGTGATGTGAGTCCTTTCAGGATTTGCCTTGGGTGTATTTGAGGGTTAGGGTCGTGGAGAGATAAAGACCATCTTCCCTCCACCTGCAGGGCAGTTTGGATTTAAAAGCTTATTGATAAAAAGTATAGTAACAAACCTGCGGCTCATAGAGAAGAATCTTAATACAATAGCAACCACTAGCCTCAGCTCTGCCTGTGAGAATCTCATCACAGCACARTCCAGCAAGCTCCTTCCAAATGGGGGCACAGATCTGAGTCATAGACACCATTACCCCAGTTTCCTTTATTTCTCAAAAGCATTTCTCTTCTGTGATTCCTTCTGTTTGTTTCTAAGTACCCACTTCTCTCCTTTTTCARCTTTCCCCAACAACAGATTTCATGATACTAACAACAAAATTCTGACACATTTTCAACGGAGACCAGTGTTGTCCCGTGGAAACACAGCTGTGAGCTGCATAATGACATTTCAATTATGGACTCATGGATCATGAYGGTTCCATAAGAAAATATCACCTAGTGACACGGTGTCTGTCTTAGTTTGTGTAAATATACTGTGTGAGGGCTCTCAATGACGCAGTTGCCTAACAACGCATTTCTCAAAAACGGTACTCTCATCAGTAAATGACAGATACATGACTGCAATTTTAAATCTTTTAAATGTGTTCACATTTAAAAAAGTAAAAAGAAACAGATCAAACTTATCCCACCTGTATTTAAAATGCTATCATTCCAAAATAAAAATATTTTTCATTCTGGTTTTGAAATCCAGAATGTATTTTACACTTAATGGCATTTTATTTCGTCTTTAAAATGCTTGGTGGTCACATGACCACCATCTTGGGCAGTGAAGTTCTAAAGGTGTTAAGGAAGAAGGCGTGTGAAGGAGGTCGGACTCTAGARTTTCACAGGGGAACCTTGTAGTTCAGTAAGGATTTCCTCTACCACCACTGGAGACCCACTTTTAATTGTGTTGTTTCAAATTTGTAGATCAAGTATATYGATTCTCTTTAAAGATCCTAATTTAATTTCTTTTTTCTTTTGTTTTGTGGAGTGCTCCTTTTCTTGGGATTCCCCCGATAATAAGATGATGTGTRGACATCTACTATAAAAATTCTGTTCCTGGAACACGACAGGTCCAGATGCTCCCAGATGAGAGAACACGGTCAGGTGACTATTTCAAGCAAGTGTTGGGACAGCCATATCCTAAAATTGAAGACACTTACTTGAAAATTAAGTTGAATCCACACACTGTAAACATGATAGCCAAGTAACCCACAACGCCAAATGCRTAGCTGAGCTTATAGATGAGGAGGAACCATTTGTACACCAATCTGTAAATGAAAAATAGGGAGAAACATGGCACGTGACATAAAGTATTTTATCTTTTTCAAACATTGTTACAAATCAACTCTTAGTTTCTAGAATTTGATGTAGTACATACTATACGGAACATAAGTATAGAAGTAGATACACATAAGTATACATGTGTGTGTATACACACACACACACACACACACATACATACACTGAATTCAAGAATAATCTACAGTTTTGGGGCTGAGGTTGAAGCTCAGTGGTAGAGCACTTGCCTAGCACATGTGAGGCACTGGGTTTAAGCCTCAGCACCACATATAAACAAATAAATAAAATAAAGGTATTGAGTTCATCCATAACTAAAAAATACTTATAAAGAAAGAATAATCTACAGTTTTAATCTAATAGCAGCAAGTGGGTAAACGCTACCCTCATGCTCATGTGTTTCTTGGTATAAACATTTTAGCTTCTCTATGTCTGTCACGTAATCAGGACTTTCGGGAAGTGTTCCTCTACCTGGGACCCTGCCTTCCCCTCCCCACCCTCTCCTGTGGCTGAAGGCGTAGTTTAGAGTGGTTTTGGCAGGAGTTGCTTCTGAGGCAAGCAAAGCATCATGGGAGAAGTCAAGAGAGGAGAGCCCCCTCCAGTAGTCCCACTTCCCTCCTGCGGTGTTGCCCCTGGATCCCTAGCTCAGTCGTGGGCCCAGCCCTCCTTCCTCACCCCGAAAGTCCCTCTGGTAGCCCTGGGGAAGCCATCACAAGGGCTCTCGAGCCTTGACTTCTGCTATGGGAACAGGTCATGTGCCCAGCCCATGATTCACCAGGAGGCCCGAGAGGACTTCCCTCTTCTCACAGGGTCTAGGGGGAGGGAAGGATGGAGGGAGAGAGAGGAAGCTGGAGGGAGCCCTGCTCCCTGCCTGTTTCCRTCTTCCCTGACTGTAAAAGCCTTTAGAAGAACAGCAGCCAGGCCCAGGAGGCTGAGGGAAGAGGTTGAGAGTCCAGTTCTGCTCCTGGTGGGCCCTGGCGGAAGGGCGAAGCCCACTGGAGCAGGGAGTGGTRGAAGAAGCTGGGGGCTTGCCTTTGGTGCCTGAAGACAATACCGGGGTGGCTGGAACACTGCTCCCAGGTGAACAGTGGCAGGAGGCTTGCTTGGCCCTTGCCCTTTCCCTGCCCTTCACCCAACACCAAAACCACACTCAGAATCTCACTGGAGATTCCGCCCCATCCTCTGGCCTCCGAGCCTCTCCCCTTCCAGCTCACTCCAATGCACCAAATGCTTAAGCTCTATGATGTCACTGTTGCAAGCTTTGGTTTTAAAAGATGCTTTCTCTCATCGAGTTCCAGTAGATGGGCCTTTCTGTACCATGATGGTTTAATGGGGCTTGTGGGCCAGCCTGAGAAATGAATGGCCACTYAGATCACTTCTGTAGTGAAATGCTTTCTCCATTTCAATAAACCAACACCTAAGGTTCGTGTGAGCGGGCACTTCCTCCTGTCCTGTGGGAGCCGCAGGTCTGGTGGACCCTGTGGAGCTGGGCACTTGCAAGGCTGCATTGGGCTGGCTTACGGTACTGTGAGGTGGGGCAGGCCAGAGGGGGCTTTGGGGGTCTTTCTGCCACAGTGACACTTGGGCCACAGGTTCTTTGGATTTGCTTGTGTTGAGCAGTTTGGATCTCAGTGCAGCCAGATCAAGGGGGGGGGGTGTTGCTAAAAGGGGTGATGATAGGGAAGTGGGCAAGCTCTAAGGGGTCCTCCCACTGGCCCCCACGGCCAGCCGACACCAGAGGCTGTGCTCCTTGCACCCTCAAGCACTCCATTCGTACCTTGAGGGGCCTCTCTCAAAGTTGTGCCAGTGTGGGAGAGGTTCCAGGACTAACAGCTTTTTGAACTACAAGGTCTGTCTGTGCAGAATAGTTTGTTGATTTAATGAAGCCACAGTCTGTTTTGTGTTAGTTAGTAACCTTTGGTTGACCCTGGGCTGGCCACTCACCGCCTGTGGACTTTGGCCAACTTACTTGGCATTTCTTCCTATGATTGCATCATTTGTAAAGTAAGGTTATATACTGCCAACTCTTGACATCCTACTGAAGATTATAATGATGATGATGATGATGATATAGTGAGATGATGGATCAGTGTTTAAAAGACCTCAGAGGAATGGATAAAGGAAACGTGGTACATATACACAATGGAATATTACTCAGACTTAAAGAAGAATGAAATTATGGCATTTTMCAGTAAATGGATGGAATTGGAGAATATCATGCTAAGCATGATAAGCCAATCCCCCAAAACCAAAGGCCAAATGTTTTCTCTGGTATGCAGATGCTAATTCACAATAAGTAGTGGGGGGTGTCTAGAGAAGAATAGAGGTACTCTGGATTAGACAGAGGGGAGTGAAGGGAGGGGAGAGAATATGGGATTAGGAAAACAGAATAAAGAATCAGACATTATTACCTTATGTGCATAAATGATAACACAACTGGTGTGATTCTATATCATGTACAACAGAAGAATGAGAAGTCATACTCCATTTATGTATGATGTGTCAAAGAACATTCTTCTGTCATGAATAACTAATTAGAACTTAAATTTAAAATGTTAAAAAAAAAAAAAGACCGGCACAAGATGGGCATGGTGGTGCATGCCTCTAATCCCAGTGGCTCTGGAGGCTGAGGTAGGAGGATCGCAAGTTCTAGGCCAGCCTCAGCAGCTAAGCAAGGCCCTAAGCACTGACTGAGACCCTAACTCAAAAGGAAAAATAAAAAGGATTTGGCACATGGCTCAGTGGTTAAGTGCCCTGAGTTCAGTCTTTAGTACCCACCCCCCAAAAAACGGGCCTAAACACATTAATGCTCAATATGCTTTAACATTGTGATGAATGTGTTAGATTTTCCACATCATCATCTYCCAGTTTATTGAGAGTCCAGAACTTTCTCATGACTCAAACTTAACCTCTGAAGCTGTTGAACAATTGTGTGATTGGAGGCCAAGCAGCATCCAAATGATAGCTTGACCTTGGGTTACAAGTGATGTGGCCAAGCTCAGTTCTCTGTGGCTTGTGTGTGGCCTGTTTTTTTTTTTTTTTTTTTTTTTTTAAATTGAGCTTAAACTTCATTGCTTGCCAAACAACCCAACTATAGTAGTAAAGAGGAAACTCACTTCCCCTTCTCTGGTATTCTGTACCACACGCAGGGGCTTGGCGTGCTCCAGTGGAGGAACAACTGAGTTTCAAATTCTGTTGGTGCTGGAGACCACACTTCTTGAATTTACCTTTTGCACCAATGTTGATTTGCTTTGCCCAGCTTACCTAGCCTGAAAGGAAATCTTCTGCTTCCAAATGGCAGGCAGCTAAGATCTGACTCATATGCAACATGAGCAATCAAAGGCCCATAAAAAAAAAAATCAAAGGCCTACTACCCCTCATACAGAGGGGCCCCTTTATCTTGCTGCTTYTCTAGAACAGGCCCTTGTTAGCCTCTCCCATTTTTGTCTCCTCCAATAGCAGCTGGATCTAATGACAGCTCTTGGCTCTCAGATGGTACTCCAGGGGGCAGAGCTGGCCAGGCAGRAAGAAGCTGAGATGGACCTGCTATGTGCATGAGAAGCAGATGGCGTGATACCTTGGCCATCTGAAATGTCAGCCATGAAGATGAAGCAGCATGTGGTGCTTCTTGTAACAAACTTCCTCTGCACTGGGTGAACTGATGGGTCCAGAAACACTGTATTTAGCTAGGGTGATTCATTATGCAATGGGCACGTGGGCCTCGTTCAAATACAATACAGATCCTGTTCTATATGATGAATATAGAGAGACAGGTACATCTGGATTCGTCCAAAGCACAGAGCACTTTAAATCTTAATTAACTTATAACCCATTGTAAGAAGGAGAAAGGTTGCTATGTTCCCATTTTATTGATGGGTAAATGGGGTTGTACAATGGCTGTCCAAGACCCCAACCTGGCTGGTGTTGTTGGAAGATCTAACACTGCCACAAAGCTCTTCCCACAGTGGAATTAAAATACTCATAAACTTGAGTTGGTATATTTGAATTTCAATKTTTATCATCATATTTATCTTATATATCTCCCTGCATCTTCTTCTCTAGAAGGGAAAGTTTAATTTTTATCTCTCCTACTATTTTACAGGATGATAAAACACCTAAATGGGTAAGTAATCATGAAACTATTACACGGAAGCTTATGATTTACTCTCCACAAAAAGTCGAAATAATTTTATTAAAAAATTTATTTTATTAAAAAATAGTACATAAAGTAATTTTATATACTTTTTCATTATCTCATCGYAGTTTCGTCTTGGTGATTTGTATCTYGCCCAGAACAAGTAAGAACAAACCTGTAGGCACATTATAAGCTCTTAAGATTTGTGCATGGTACAACAGAAGTCTATCAATCTGAAGAGATTAGCAATAGCAATTAAATAATCCTTATGAGTCAGGCTCGGTGGCACATGCCTGTAATCAGTAGCTTGGGAGGCTGAGGCAGGAGGATTGCAAGTTCAAAGCCAGTCTCAGCAAYTTAGTGAGGCCCTAAGCAACTCAGTGAGATTCTGTCTCTAACTAAAATACAAAAAAGGACTGGGGTGTGGCTCAGGGGTTAAGTACCCTTGGGTTCAACCCCAGTACCCAAAACCAAACAAACAAAAAAAAAGAAAACAAAAAATTCTTATGAGAGTAATGTTTGCCTCTTACTTATAACATATATTTTCAGGTTGAAGCATAAACTTTCAACTGTTGCTCTATTTGCTGAGCTAAAAATAAACATGCAAACAGTGCTCTAGAAAATTTTAAAAAACAGTTTCACTTCTCTTTCTCCTGGCCTTCATGAGCTCATACCTGAAGTTATAAATTTTACAGGCATGTCAGAATCACCATTAGATAATGAGTGTGAATGAAGAGTAGTACAGCTGGTCTCCAAATAGTTTTGATAACAAAAGCAAAAGAAGTTCAGAGGAAGTGTAACCGCCCCACCYCACCTTCCTAGGGAAAAGGACGTCCAATATACCTTTTAAGTTTTAAAATAAAGGGGCTCCTGGGGAAGGAAGGAATGCAGTACATACCGKGGTGTTCTCCCCGAGAGGGGTTTTCGGGTAGCTCTGAAGAGGATATAACTGGTGATCACCGAGAACATTCCCCACATGGATAGAAACCGCCACCAGTAAAGCTTTATCGTGAAATACAAAGGGACGACCCACATCTGCAGCAAGGTTGCCAGCTGTCAGAGAAATGAACAGAAAGACTCCTTCAGTGACCGAGGGCCTGRATGGCATTTCCATTATTGTTTTTCTAAAATTATCTTTCGGTGCTGAGGATTGAACCCTGGGCCTCGTGCAGGCCAAGCACAAGTTCTGCCACTGAGCTAACTCTAACCACAGTGTCTCCATGACACTCAGAATCGGCTCTGTGGGGAATGCCTTCACCATCATGGCTGCACCAAGCTACTGGTTCACCGTTCGACCATGATCTTTTCCCACACATGCCAAGCTACGGAGTGAACGGGTRCGTCCATCTGATATTCAAATGGGTGACAACCCTAAATACCCATCTTCTGTCACCTCCTCTCATCTCACTATTTCAGAAGCCCTCTGGGGCCTCAACAGCAATGTGTTTTGGACATACAGGTCTCCCTAGAGTTATAAAATCGGGGATACTGATGCCTGGGCTAATCAAAGGAGATGCTGGGCAGGAAACCCTGAGAACCACGCTGCGTTACCCAGAGCCATCACGTGCCCATGTGAAAGTGCACAGCGGTGCCAAAGGAGGAAGTGACAGTCAGTGACTTAAAGGTAGCTCTGGTACCTGTTCTACCTGCCGTCCCGGTGTGCTCTGCAGCTCAGCGACCTTGCCCTGACTCTTGGATCTGCATCTCACCAGTCTCTCTTCTTTGGTGGCTGGTACCTTTTCCAGGTGGCCCAATGTGTGGATTACTCTTTTTCTTCTCTGTATAACCCCTTTGTGGACTGTCATTGACCAGAGTTCAAGTAACCTGCAGAGGGTCCTTTAACCTGGCTGTCCCCAGTCCCATGGGCTGTGTGAGTCACTGACTTGACAAGGGTACCCTAGTAATAGTCCTTCTTTTTAGAGAAGACCTAAGGCCAGCCAGTCCTCTCTCTTTGGAGAGGCGGAGAGGTTTGGACAATAGCAGTAACCACTGGTCTTTTATGTTACCCATTCAGACTAATTACCTATTATTTGCTCACAACAAATATAAAGGGAATGGCAAAGAGGTTTTGTCTCCAAGTGTAGAAGTTCATTTTCAGAGGCACSTGCAGCACTCTGTGGAGGATTCTGAATCTGGATCCTGGTTTGGCAGTGAAGAGTCCCACCACTGGTAAATGACACCTGCCCAGATGTGGGAAGAGTCGTTCGAGTTTGTGCATCTCATACTCATCATCCTGAGTATAAAGAAGGCTAATGTCATTTGTTTCCTAACACTTCTTAACCTTTGTGGCGAAAGGGGAAGGTTTAGGAGAAAAGTCCGTGGGTACATTTTTGGCTCCTTTAAATAAGGGCTTGACCTTGACTTTTAAGGTCAACAACAGAAACTACTGGACAGGTCTTCAAAATGTGAGTTACAAAGGCAACATCATAACCGTCTGCTTTCATTGTTGGWCAAGAAGGTGTTTCCTGGGTTCTTTATTTTCATTTTGATGCTGCCTCCCTGAAAACGAAAGATCTGGAGTCCGAGAATTGCTCTAGATCTTTCAGAGAACGTTCAGATTGTTATTATACATATACACTTGAACCAAAATACCCGTGGAACAAACCTGATATGAATATCTGGAGAGTTCACAGGGGGATATCCTATAACCTAATTTTTGTTTTGATTTTAAATTCCAGGGAATATTTTCATGGAAAAGGAAATTTTTTTACTCTTCTGAATTAGGTAATTGCCTCAATTTTCTATCCTATGAGGTGTGTATGGTCCAACTTCATGACTGAGTTATAGTCTTTATTTATGACACCGAGATAAGTATATCTATACAGGTGGTAGAATTTTTATTCAAGGAAGCAGAATATTTTCTTGAAGACCTGGAACCACATCTAGATGAGTAGGATTCAAGCTCTACTGACCTTCACACTCAGCATAAGCAACCTTGACCCTCTCTGGCATTGACAATAAAAATTACAGCCCCTTAGAAAGAGCTCATCAGTATTTGTGGTTATTTCTTTCCTGTAGATGTAGAGAAAGTTATCTATCATAAATTATATTTTCTAACTTTTAAAACTCTATTACTTTTGATATTTCGTCCTTCAAAATTGGATCATCTGTCATTTGTATTTTTCATCTAATAACGATTTCTTTTTTATCTTCTCCCCATAAAAATGATGAGTTCTTTGAATAAAAGTTGAGTCAGTTCAATTTAATTCATCAAAATGCTTTGGATCATGAGCCAAAATTTGTAAGACTGATCCATTTCTTCAAATCAACAGAGTTGAAATCTACAATAGTTTGGAGCTACAGTTGGACTATATTTTTATAAAATGGGTTCCCTCCCTGTGGATTTATAAGAATGAACCATTTCTAGAAGATCCCAAATTGCTCTTAGTTGATATCTGTATTTAATTAACAGTTAACAATGAATAACTGTGTTCGATATACAGGCACACTACTTTTTAAAATAGGCTTTGGAGATCAAAATGAAGGGAAAGCTAAAAATCGTGACCATGCGTTATATATGCAAATATTTAATTTCTTAAGTATCTTTAAAGTGTATACCCAGCACCGTATTTTATCAACATGCAAAGAGAAGGGTCAGAGCTTTGCATTATGAATTCAATAGTTGTACGAAAAGTCATTTTGAAATGAGGGCCCCATTTCATAGCAATTTAAATGATTCTTTATCAATTTCCAGAGCAGTTAAAAACTTCTCATTTTTAATAGTAACGGCCACATGTGAAATGTAGGAATGCTGTTCCTCATAAATAAACACATGAAAATGTGAAATCGAGGCACTTACATGCAAAGGAGGAAGCTTGGTGTCTGGAACACATTACTAATGCCAGAAGGGTCACCATCTGGGCATGTGTGTATAAAACACATCTGCATTGCTGGCGAAGGGCAGCCTGTGCATCTGGATCATATTACGCACGTTCTCCCCACCCATACATCATTGCAGGAAGAATTTCCTGATGAATCAGATGGTGCCCAAAGGTACCATGGTTTTTTCCTTGTTACTATGCATGTAATGAATGTGAAAAGGATTGCAGATCAAGTCAAAACAAAGATATCTTTCATCTGTCTAATCGTGCAGCATGAGAATGCCATGCAATATTAAAAAGGGAAAGGAAGAAGTTATGCAATGCTCATTTCCTTTGCATTGCAAATACTCAGCTATCTGCAACCATTTGTGTGTGTGTGTGGATGGTGTTCCGGGAGAGCAGAGGGATGTGCAGAGGTAAGCAGAAAAGTGTTATGGAAATACACAACTCCAGAAAACCCTGCTGCTCTCAGCACAAAGATAATAGATGAAAGTGAGGACCTAAATCGAGCAAGAAGAAAGGAAGGAACCTCTGCACCCTTAGAAATTCAGTCGGTCCACGCTTCTCTCTCCAAATCAATCCCGATAGTTGATTTTGTTATTTAACTCTTAAAGAAGATTCTGTAATGTTGTGTACGTATATAAGAACATATGTTAAGAATGAATGTATTTCTGCCTTGCCACATTAAAAAAAAAATTCCTAGTGTTTCACGGCTATTAATAGACAGGAAGTTTGATTTAAAGACAGCAGTGTTTCAATCTGTGACAAATTATTTGCCTGTGTATTGAGGCCAGTTAATAGTGCATCTGAAACCGAAATTCTGTGGAGGTAATTTTAAGGCCTTCTTTTAATGTGAAGAGTAATAGAAAGATTCTTTCTTGGCACCCTGCTCCCTACTTCCTGAAAATATGAAAAGTAGGTGCACTTAAGGGAGGGTGGAGAGAGTGGTATTAAAAGAAATTTTATTTTTAATTAAATGCTATTAAAAGCGTTTGGAAATAATTTAACTTTGAAGTTCTGCCAATGTCTGCACCATATCAAGATTGCCAGCTGTAAAGAGAAAAATTCAAATATTCATATGATTGGTCTACATGGTGCTAAAAATGTGGCTATTTGGAACAATGCAGGTATTTGGTCATATCCCAAGCAAAATACATTTTTTTTCCTTCTACTCACTTTCTATCTGCACTTTTTGACATCACAAAGGAACAGTTAATATTATATTTTTATACTTTATTTTTTAAAGTAAATMATTTCCTTTGTTTCAAGTATTTATAATAAGCTGCTTTGAATTATACAGCTCTACAGASCACAGAACATAATCTGTCTGGACAGATTAAATGATCACTTTAATTTTTTGTTTTAAATATTTATTTTCAGTTGTAGTTGGACAYAATACCTTTGTTTTATTTATTTATATGTGGTGCTGAGGATTGAACCAGGGCCTCACATGTACTAGGCAAACGTTCTACTGTTGAGCCACAACCCCAGCTCCATAAATGATCACTTTAGAAGAGGAACATATTTGTTAAAAGTTTTATCTGAAAATATTCTGGACTTTATGAATTCGTCTCTTTCTTCTTAAATATATGATCTGAATTATGCTTGAAATTATGTGAAAATAATACCTTTAGGTTATAAATAATTTGTACAAATAGCAATGTTGTTAGCATACAGAGCTATTCACWTGTGTGTGCATTTCCTACTTTTTTTCTAATTTCATTCACTTGCTTATGTATAAACTCCCACTCGATCAGCAAGTAACCTGGTTTCCACTATTTGTCATCTATTTAYTTAATTGTTCCATTCCAGTATACACCTACAGCTGTGTTAGGATTGCTAAGCCCTTCTCCCTTGATAAAATAACTTTRTCAACCAGAGTACAGTGCTTATGTGCAGTTCCCATTGCCTTAATTTTCAGAGTGCTCATTTTCAAAGTTACTTAGATCTGTACCCCTGACCTCCACCCACCATCCTCTTTAACAAAGTTGTTTCAGATCCTTGCAAAGCAGTTACATTATTTTGTCATGGTCTGCATTTCTCCTTGAGATTCTCCAACCCCCTAACTGGACACTTTCTAAAGTGTCCATACCTTAAAGTCCACTTTTGGCAACATACAATTCTGTGGGACTTGACAAATGGACCATGTCTTATAGTCACAATTATAGTATCAGACAGAATAACTTTACTGCTTTGCTTCCTCCCCTTCTTCCCTCTGAAGTACTGGCAACC